CCCCCCCCCCCCCTCTCCTTCACCCCCGGTTGGGGATACGGGAAAAGGATTTCATTTCGACCTTTTTTCTTATACAGTAAGCTTTCCGTCCTGAACACTCTTAAGTGAGATCTTTATGTTCTCTTGGTGAGACTAAAATCTGTAATTTACACCCGAACCCTAGCTAAAAGACCTAAAAGATCGTCAAGATCGAGCGCTCACCGTCATTGAAGGCCATTTTCCCAGACTAAGAATACGCCCTTCCCCGGCCAGTTGGTACTCAACAAAGGTTTATACGGGTAGGTTCCGTCTCGAGGTCCAGCCCCTTTTGATCCCTTTTATGTACCATTTTTGACAGAAAGGTACCGAGGTACGCCTTTCGTATATCTTCCATTGACGAATGGTAGCCCTTTCTTCACACCTGGTGACCAAAATTAGCCTGCGTAGCTGGCGGTATTAATTGTCTGGGTGCGCGATTAAAGTTTTAGCGGCGGAGCCGTGATTCAAAAAACGGGGAATGGGGAAATGGGCAAAGTGTATACCCGTTTCAAACCAAAACGGGGCAAAAACCCCACCCGATGGGGCGACACATACCTATATGGCTTATAAAAGGGTGTACCCCCGGAACCCCAATCCACTGGGGGCGCCTCCCCCCGGGCCTGCGTCGCAGGTTTTGAATGTCACGTCCTGATAAGAAGGTGTTTGCTTACCGTAAATTCAAGACAATCGAATCCCGTTGTTATTTTAAAAAAATAATATCTGGCCTCGAAAGTGGTTGTAGCTTGACAAATTTGAGCGCTGGTCAAGACTGGTATGGTTGATTAGGAGAAGTTTTCGCAAAGACGGAAACAGAAGACACCTAACAATATTCACAAAATGGTCCCTCACGGGAAGTGGGCGTTCACGAAATTAAAGAGGTCGAAGGGAGAGAAACGTGACTGAAAAAAATCTGTAGCCAATCCCGGGGGGGTACTGCCATATTTGGGCTATATAGGTATGTGCCGCTGTGAAGGGTATGGTTTTCAAGCAGTTTACTCTAGGATAGGGTATATAAATCAGAGCGTTTGGGTCTAGAATAGGGTATCATTTTTTAGAAAACTGATCAGCTGGTTGAAGATTTTATCTAGACTAGGGAAACAGCTACTCTAGGATAGGGGGATTTTGGGAGTTTACTCTAGTATAGGGTAGCAAAATTCAGCTGAACTAGCTCTGGTATAGGTTAAGGGTTCCAGGGTCCCAGCGGCACATCCCCACCCAGTAATTCCTAAAGTACCCTCCCCCCCGGGTAGCCAATCTGGAAATCGTGACGGTGTGTAATGGAGTGCACGTCGGTCATGCTGAGTGGATTACCAGGACATGACAATAGTTCATCACGTGCAGTTATTTCACAATGTTTCACGGGCTCATCACTGATATAAAGTACTTTTCCTCAATTACTTCTTCCCTCTTTTGCGCGAAGCGAAGTACCATACGCAGCCGGCCGGGAAGCAACGTAGTAAGGTTAGTAACCTCAACGCATTCCCTTTGAGCTCCTTCAACTACGACGTATTTTCTTTCCAACATTGGCTAGTCGTAATTTATGATTTCTTGTTGGACTAAAATATTTCACACTTTTCGGTTTGAACATTTTGAGTTCTCTATCGAAAGCTGGAGCGGTCATCTGCTAACACGAAGAATTATAAACTGCCTCTGTCGAAAATAAATCTTTTTGAGCGCCCGGATACAGGTTTCGAAAGAGCTAAAGGACTTGTTTCATGACCGGCAGAATGTCTTGTGGTTAATTTTGTATTTTATCTTTAAATATTTATCATTATTTTTTGTGCTATTTCGTAATGCGTACCCTAGAAGCCAGAGTGTTCGTAAGCACGGTTTATTTCACACTAGATATTTTGAAAACGGACCTCTGGAGCCAGGGTTAATATTATTCCTGGCAGCCGGTCTTGCACTCTCAGATTTTTGTGAGGGGTGTTGCGAAATGAGATCAAGGGAAGACCTAGAGCAAAAAGACACAAAAGCCTTTTGCGCTTCGCGCGAAAATGTTACGCCGATGCTTCGAGGAATGATAAACCGATTTTGAGAAAAAGCAATGACTGTCCAGTTTGCAGTGAACGTTCTTTCCTCTTCCGTTCTCTTTGCGCCGTACCTACTGTCTTTTTTAGTTACCAGAACATGAAAGGGATGCAGTGGGCATGATTTTATTCCAGACCGGGCTTGAGAGATGTTAAGAGAGAATTTCCTAGTATATGTTTCGCTTTGAATTGTTTTTGAATAATTTTTGAAATTCTAGCACCATTTTATTATGCTGATTTGTTTTCATTCGCGTTTTGTTTGAATATTAAATCCTGCATGAGTCAAAAGTGTTTATTCATGGAACTGGCGAAGTGACAATAGTAATTGTTCTCTGTTTTCTTTCAGTCCGTTTGAAGCTTTTAATTCTATTCCAGTAATGACTTCTAAAAATGCTAGCTAGTTTTCTGAATAAAAACTGTTGTTTTTCTTCAATTTATCTCAGTTTTAAATGTAAGCTTTATTGCACAACTACGCGCTGCATCTAAACATCAATCAATCAATCAATCAATCAATCAATTCTTTATTTGCCACTGTTAAAATTTCTAAATAAATGTATTTAGTCTATTGTGTAATCTAGTCATGTGACAGGAGATCTCTGGACTCTGCAAGCTTAATAGTCGAACAGTTTTCTAAGAGAAAGAACTATTGCAAGAATTCATTACCACGATGTACAATGTTTACCAGTCAAAATAAATTATAAAAATTTATGTGTAGATTCAGCAAATCAGTGAAACGTTTTACAATTGAAACGAAGCTGCTATAAAGTCGAAACTCTCGTGTGGGTCTCTTTAATTGATTCAGACGTCGATCTTTTCAAGTACTTATATATAGAAGGAATTTAGTGGTTCGGTACATGAAAAGTTCGACTTTTGAACTGGCGCCGTTAAGTTGCGATTGACTGAGACCCCGTCACACTATTTCCTCTTCTCCTGCCTGTTGGCCAGTCAAGAAGACCTGTATTCAATTGTTTTAACTCCACATTTGTCTTTTCAGAATGGCGATCCAAACTTACGAAGCCTCGTACAGGAAGTACTTTGGAAATACATATGATAAGATCCACAAAGATTCTACACACGACGAGGTTCGCCAAGTTTACGATATATGGGCAGTTGATTACGACAAGGTATTGATAATAATTAGGTTACATAAATCACTTTCCGGCCGTTAACGAAATAAAATGGTGGGTTTTTTTTGGTGTGTAAAAAGATTTCGTCAATTATATGAGAGGTGCAAACAATAACCAAACCATGGGATTTCTGTGTCTCAGACGAGAGTTTGTTATGAGGAGATTGTTTAGAAAACAAGATATTTTTATATCATGCTGCTTTGCGAAGATTTGGTAAAATTTGATGTTTAAACCAATCAGAAGCGTAATACAGACAATGTTAAAGTGAGCACCTTTTTGCATTCTGACTTGTTGAACATCTTAAAAACAAGGATGGTGTTGAAATTTGTTAGTCTGAGGTAAACTGCCTAATATCAATGGTATGAATTTAAATTTTATATTAAGTATGGCATGATCTCTTCGCAGGAAATCGGTGCAGCCGGCGCATGCTTCCACAAGCCACTCGCCGAGTGTTTGGATGTTGCCGTGAATGAAGTCTTTCCCAACATTAAGAAAACTCAGCTGAAAATTCTTGATGCTGGAGCTGGAACCGGGCCGATAGGAATCGAGCTTCTTAAACTTGGTTACACTGACATCCACGCGTTAGATATCTCGCAAGAGATGTTGAATATAGCTAAAGAAAAAGGCGTCCCATATAGGAGATTTATCTGTTGCCCCCTAACAGAAAAGAAGATTGATGAGCTTGAAACTGGAGAATTTGATGCTCTGATTTCTGCTGGAACCCTGATAAAGGCTAACGTTCGTCCTGAGGCTTTGGTGGAGATGATTAGAATAGTGAAGACTGGTAAGCCTGGTTTAGTTTGGTTTATTTTGTGCTTGTTTCTTTTTGAGGACGTGGCTGGGGCAAATAGCCCGAATCTCGCTCCCATTTTACTTTGAAATCCCAAATCCCATCCTTCATACAAAGCAATTCCCGGACCCCGAAAAACCTATTGGGTTGCTCAACTACCCGTTCCTCGACAGTTGTCGATATTCCGGATTCCAAACCTAGGATTCGGGATTCAACAAGCAAACACTTCCCGGCTCCGGAATCCCGCGGATTCCTTTACATTCGGCGATCTATCCAGTGGAAAACGTAACTGATTTCAATAATACATAACCGCTGGAAAATGATTTATCCAAAGGATAGACTACGAGTAGTCCCCATTTTTCCTCAGCGATAGTAGAGCGAGCGAAACGCGACTGCGCGTGAAACACACCCCACCGCGACGTCTCGCCTTTCTCGCGTAGGTAAATTTTCACGCGCGCTCGCGTTTTGTTCGCTCTAGTCTCTCTGAGGAAAAATGGGGACTTCTCGTAGTCTATCCAAAGGATAGCGCTATCTACATTTGAAACAGGGGCCAGATGGTTACAGTGATTGCATGCATGGTACCCACTTGATAGCTCAATAGATATTTTTATCGTTCATAGGTGGACTCGTCTGCTTTTCGCTGCGTTACAATGAAGTAGATGACTACCAACCAAAGATGACGGAGCTAGAGGAAGCTGGAATATGGGAAAAACTCTCCGGCAAGAAAATCCCTTATTATAACAGGGAAGACATGCCAAGTTACGGCTTTGGCTTCGTGTACAAAATCTTGAAAAACTGATTGTGTCACTTTTATTTTATCATTATTTTTTTGTACGTCTCGCTGGACCTTCGACCTTGTTAAATAAAATTAGTATCAGGACACTGCTTCTCATAAGGAAGTTATTGTTTTTTAGTACGTTATGGAACTGAAATGCTCACTTTTTTTATGTAGCTCCTCCCCTCTTCTTAACCCACACCGACATTGTTATTCCCACCATTGAAGGTCACATTGAATAGAGGGGAGGCGGGGAGAATGGGGGCTGAGGGTTTGGCTGGTAGACTGGGCAGTAAGCTATTTTGCAGATGTGTGCTCAAGTGCCCTGGCCTCTGAATAAAAGTGAGGCTAGCGGTGACTTTGTTTTGTTACAAACCTTGCTGCTTTTCATGTGCAAATCGTGGTACTCTCTAGCCTGGGACCAGGCTCTGCGGTGGGGGAAAAGGTCCAATAGGAAAAAATATAGGCGAGCGAAGCGAGCCTAGCGGTGGTCTAGGGAGGTGGTCTTTTCCCTCCATATATAACCTCTTGGCTCGCTTCGCTCGCCTATTTTTCCCCCTTTTTTCCTCAATGCGGAGCATGGTCCCAAGCTAGGTATTTCTCATGCAACAAGCCCGTGAACATGATCATTTACATATAAACAACAAGAATGTTTGTAACTAAACAAGGTCACCGCCATCCTCGCTTCTATTCAAAGGCCAAGGCACAGAGCACACAACTGTAAAATTGAGAGAGTTTAAAAACGGTAACACACACTTCTCCAAAGTCATGCTCCAAGAGTGACTTTCCAATGGGTCAAAATACCCAGCAACAACTTAAAAACATGGTTTCCTTTGACCATGGCATTTACCGAAGGGCAGCATTATTCAATTACGTGAGAATTTTTTTTCATGCCTTCCCATAGGCTCGATTTCCGCCGTCTCCCGGGTCCGGTCTTTGATCCTCCCCGAAGAGAGAGCTCTTTCGGGGGATGAGTGCTGGCTCATTTTCCCGAACAGCGGCTGGTAATCGAGCCTAGCCTTCCCAGTTCGTCAATCTTCCCAAATATTTGGACGTGTTGGACCTCCTGACATGTTCTTGTTATTTTATTATTATTTTTTTTTATCACTGCGTCACTGTCGGCTTAAGAGTTCTTGCTAAAACAGATTCAAGCACAAAAAATTCTCCGCAAAATCTTACTTAGCTTGTAAGTCTAGATCTGCTACCCTCTTCTTGGGAAATGCGTTGCGTGACAAGAGTGACGAGACACAATGGTTGCGTTACCTAAACTTTTTAAGCATTGTTCCCGTTATAGTCCTGCTCTGCATCTAAACTGATTAGCATACGGCATTTGGACACTCTTTTAGGGCAAGTAATCACAAATTTAATATTTCAAAAACTCAGTTATCAGAAGCAGCCTTGTGGTACAATGCATTGAAACGGCTATTTCGACTCTCTCCTTTGCTATTTTTATTGGGATACCCAGCAGGAGCCTCTGCATGAGATGAGGAGGGACGACTCCCCGGGGAGGGGGTACTCCCTCACATAGCCTACTCGGGGATGTACCACTGGACAGGGCATGCTTTTTTACCTCTGTCTCCAACAAAGTATATAATTTCCGTGTGAGTCTGTCCTAAACAGGGTATATAATTTCGTGAGAGTCTGCTAAAAGGTATGCCCTGGAAGATTGATTTGATTTCCAAAAATAATTTCGAATACAAAAGCAATGACTATAACGTGAAGTTTCGAGCGAGTAGCCCCCTCTCCCCCCCGTCCCTGGAGAGAATTTGTATTACGGAAAGAGCCTCACTTCCGGTTAACGTGCATCGTCGAGAAACTTAGTTTCTGTACGCCATAGCCTGTTCCAAGCGTTCAGATAGTGGAGAGCGGTGCGAAGTAAAGAAAGCGATGAAAAGTAGAGGGGGACCTCTCCTCCTCCCTCGCTTTTATTTTTTCGCGCTCCTTTTTACTTCGCACCGCTCCCCACTATCTGAACGCCTGGAACAGGCTATGTACGCCATCGAATCAGTGTCTGACGGCTAGTGAGGAAGTGGAAGACCAAAATACCCGAAATAAACCTTCCAGTATACCAAATAGTATACAAATACTAGTGTAAAATACAAAAATCCTTTCACATTCGTGGGTTAAAGAAACACTCGTATTTTCCCCCATACAAATCTTCAGTATTTCGAACGTTACGCAACAATGCCCATAATCTTTGCACTTAAGGTTTTTTGTTGAGGACAACAGGTGATGCAACAGAGTCCAGAGTTCATTCCCTGACCGAGGAAGAGGACTGGAAACTGGTGACTACCCTCGTGGACATCGCGTGAACGGTCCCTGATAATATGTATTCAGAGGGCAAATGTTTCTGACATTTTAATTCAAGACGGCTGATTGTCTCTGTAAATCTCAGCTCCCTACTGATCTGAAAGACGCAGAGGAGAAAATAAAACTTAAATCTAGAGAACTAAGATTATATCGTTACAATTTAGGTCTTCATGAATGCTGCACAAAGAAACAAGAGAAACAGTACGCACGTGCAGTGTTTTCACGGGTGCTTTTCCGTTGACATGTAAAACTACTGTGACTGACAGTAAAAACACAGTGTAACTACTGTTGTTTATTTATTCCTGGTTGGCACAGAGCGAGGTAAGTACACGGTTAGCCTCTCCCGTTTTTTCTACGCTTTTTCCCGGGAGCCTGTCTAAAGAACAGTATGTATTTTACTAAAAACGTTTATTCTGGTTGTAAATAACTATTAAACCAACGGTGTTGGGAAGGGGCATTTCATTCCCCTATCAAAAGATGGTGCGGGTGACTCGACAGACCGCAAGTTAAATTTCCATGGACTGCAGTGGAAAACAAAAATATTTTTCGGAAATACAGCGTTTCAAGAGCCGCAGAACTAAAAAGAATATGATCAGTCATTTTTTTTCTGTGGCCTTATTTAAGCAATTGTAATCTTGGTTATAAATTTGAATTTTTAATCTTTGTTTGATTTTGACAGAATGGTAATGTATTATATTGTGTTTGAAAGAAAGGGAAATAAAACTTGAACCTTCTAGATATAAAATAGAGACTTATATATGTGTTCCAGCGAATTTCGTCGCGCGCCTTGCCAGTTACACATATTTGCAAGATATATCTTAACGCAAATGTGGACGGCAAACTGCGAGTGTTGTATGCACAGAACACGGGTTTATAAAAGCAAGTAGTTCTTAAATTATATATCCCTATTTCAATTTTTATAACCCGCTTTTAAATAAACTCCCCTATCGTTGAGTTTCTCAACAAATAAGTTCTATTTCTTTAAGAAACGTAAGTGCTGTTGCAAATGACGGGAAAATAATGTTACTCGAGTGATATGAAACCTTCTTCAACTACCTATCGGTCAAAGAACGAAGTCTCCGTTTCAGAAACACGCGACTCGTTTCGCTTTCCATTAGATCTCCGAGTGAGAAAAAAATTCTAGCCTCGACTGGCACATTTTGTTCTTGCAACCAGCACAGATTTTTACCTCCCCGCGCGCTGCAGCCGAATCTCGGTACAATTTCGCTCTTCATTGAATCATCTGTAGGTCTTGAATTGTTCAAAGGCAAACCGAGTGGCCTTACTTCAAATCTCACGATAAGTTTAATTGCCTTAGTAAAAGGTCAGTTCGAGGTTTTAATCAAAGATTACGATAATTCCGGGCCTAATCATTTGCCTAGGGGACAGAAGACGAAAAAGCGAAAACACAAAATTTTCAAAATTTCGGAAATTTGCCCAGAATTTGTTCGCTTTTAAGAATTAATTCACTTCACTTTTACAAAAATTTCATGAAGATTTACAAATGACCAGCAACAAATGTGTCATTTTCAGAGGGTGCAGAGATCGTCCGTGCGGTATTTTAAATAATTGACCCTTGGCCAATAAATTCTCTATGGCGGTTTGTTAAATCCAAGATTGGACCTTGGTCTCAGACTTTTGGTTCAAAGAAAACTCAGTGCTTTTTATAAACAATCAGTTTTCGGATGCCTTGTCGAACGTAACGGATAGAATTAACCTTGGCCCTTATAAAGTACTGCCACCGACTGGGCTCGATTTACCAAGATGTGCCCTAGGTTTTTTAAGATATATTGAGCCATTTTGGAAGTCGTTCATCTGAAGTGGGCCTTCGATGAAATGTTAAATTACCATAAATATTTCATTATCATAATTGTTGTTTATGTTGAAAGAAGTGTACAGATAAACCAATTGCAATACTATGGTTTCCCGAGCTTGAAGTGCATTGCCTTTGGAATAGGCGACGAGATCTGTCGTTTTTGGTTTGAGTAGTGCCACGAAATCACGCTTAATTCAGCGACTGACTAGGACCTAGCAAGCAGATCGAGCAAAGTTGTATAAATAACTGCTTAAAACATTAATCGAGGGTTTCAATAACACAGCAAATACACAAGCAGCCATGGATGAGCAAAACTAAATAAGATTGAAACGGATTGCAATTGGGGTTTTGAAAACTACCGATCCTTGAAGTTTTCGAACTTTCAGAAGTTTGATATCTGCGGTTTGTATCAAAAATAAAAACAGTCAAGCGAAGTATAACGCTCATGGCAATTTCTTCGATGAATGCTAAGTACCATTGTAAGGACGATTAGTTGGGGGGAAACGCAAACCAACAAAAAATAAATTAAACGAATCGAAGTAGACTGGGCTCCATTAAACAGCTGCTTTATGTAAAAGGTAAGTGAAGGAAATGACTTCCTTTTGATTATAAACATGCATAGTCTATATAAAACTGCGGAGGCGTTTTTGCAACTTGAGGATAATCTGATGAAACATTTTCCATGACCTCACTATACACAAATTTTATCATTCAAAATCCGAAAATCCCCATGGATTTTATTTCAATCTAGTTTCTAACATGAACGGAATCGGGCTTTGACATTCCTTGAAATTGATGCAAAATGAGTCCTGCAAAACGCATAAATGTTTCTTTTCTTTTTTCTTAATTTCTTTCATTTTCTTTTTCCCACAATATCTTCCGGCAGCGTCTTTCACAATTTCACCGAATTCTTGTCTGATAACGTGACTGGCATAAAAGCAATTTTTTTCATTCAAAATACTTCTTCGTTTATCATGAACTATTTCCTTTACGATCAAGCAAGCTCTTCTCTGTATAAGATCACGGAATTACGACATCACCCTGCGAGGCACTTGAATAGATGCTATATTTAGTTAAGCTTTTTTTGAACACCAAGTGCCAAATCACTATTATACAGACGTTTCGGATTTAGCCTTCAGCCAGTGGAAAATTCAAGTTGTGTTCGTCGTAAAGCCGGTATGCGACATGATACAAAGGAAATCCGAGCATGCGTGAGCAATGTAAACCGGTAGTCAGAATTCAAGCCGAGCGGTTGACTGGTTTCCAGGCTGTATAAGTTTTTCGGTTAGTCGGGACGTAACTGACAGAAAATCAAACAAAATCGGCAAACATTAGACAAAAGGCCTGTTGTACTTTACATCTGGCTTTTAGAACATATTTAACCCCCCACCCTGCGCCCCCCTTCCCCCCCCAAAAAGAACTAGGGGCAAATAGCACTACGGTAGTTTAAAAATTTCATTCGGCCAATTTTTTTTTTCGAGCAAAGTATCGTTTACGGTCAAGTTCCAAAACTGACTACCCTCCGAAAGTATCAATACATAAGCCTGATAATTGATGTTAAATGTCAAAATGTCAAAAACGAGAAATGTAAGGAAAGCTCCAAAGCTTATGTTAGATTTTTTAGCCCGGAGCTTGTAAAGCGGCAGTTTACGGCCTGGCAAACACTGTAGATGATGTAACGGTAACCTGACCTTAAAAATGCGGACGATGGTTTGAATAAAGTTTTAACTTACTTTGCATCTTTTACGGGGAAATTGTTATCATTGTTTTTTTTTTTTGTCCCTATGTAAACAATTAATTTGTACTCGGATATCCAGCGTCCCCGGCCTAACCTTTACATAATTCGCCAGGATCTTTTTCTAATTACATTTGTAGTGGCTTTATTTGATCATATTTCACACGTTGTCTATAAAGTAAGGTTTCTGACCCGGAGCTAAGAGACTAAAGAACCTTTAAAGAGTATCAACCTCTTGAAAATAGAGCCGATAACTCTCGAAACTTGATCTTCCGATCGACCGAGGAACTCGTGCCCAGTTCCCGCTCTCAGAGATAAACTAAAATGGCATCGGCCTCGTTGTTAGTAGGAGCCGCGAACAGGAGCGATTTTAAACACGTAAAAACCGAAGGCCGGAAGATAATGCAACAAAGCTCGTTTACACTATAGTTAAAAGTATTAATAGAGATTTGAGAGACGGAACTGGGTGTGATTACCAAAAAAAAGGAGTATATAGATTAGTATTTTGCACTATAATTTTTTGTTGAGGAAAACACTCGCGGGACCGACAACAGTAAATATTTCTTGTTAAAGTAATTTTACAAAAGCGTTGTTTAAAAAAGTGAGCACAAATTTAAAAATGGGCATGGTCTGGGCATTTTTACGTAGGATTAAATAATAAATAAATAAGAATGTCGTGTTAAGTCATGCATATGGCCTAGTTCCTAGCGGGCAATATTCCGATTTTTTTATCATTCCGGTATTCACAGCCTAGCGTCACGGTAGGCTATGAATGAAAGGAATACCCATGGGAGAATTTTCCCCAAGTTTTCGAACCAAGATGCACTTGACGCTCTACAATGTGAAGGTACTCACAAAATGGCCTTTCAGTGAACAGCAAGAAAGAGACATGAATTTATTCTTCATAGGGTCGGCAAACGATTAAGAATATATTTTTAGCCTTTTTTTTTCCCGAATAAAATTGACTGTAAATCCTGAAAGATTTCTTATTGGTTTAGCTCAGTACTATCCTATTGGTTTTGACTGACTGAATCCAAAGGGATTTAAAAACACAAAACCGGCTTTTATGCATGTAGCAGACAAATGCTTATTCGTCGAGGTTGCAGTTCTTCACCGAGGAAGCAAGCAATGTAAATACGAGGAACGAAGTTTTGTTTATTCTTAGGGAGATTTCTATCGATGAAAACACGGCTATTGTACCTCGCAGGAGACACTGAAATCAAGCGAATGTCCTCTTTTCGCCACACAATTAAAACAATAAAGCAGGATGGCCTCAAACTTGAACCCAGACGCACAGTTCTCGAAATTTGTCTCATTCCTTTTTTAACCAAAAAATAAATAAATAAATAACGATAACGTTTGACAAAGTATTGTCGACTCTTTTTAAAATGGGCGTGTCCGCCTGCCATTTGTTAGATGGTCACCATGCGAACCAATCATGGGATTTCTCACTTCGTACACCAGTTTACCTATCCAATACCCAACGTCATATTTGCAGGAACGGAGGAGCAAATTTGACTGTCTTGTTAACGAAATGCTGTACATCAAACAATTAAGACCGCGCTTGAACATGCACTTACAGATTCAATCCTTGCGAAAGTCTACTTTGTCTAGCTCTACATCATTTATGCAAATTTACTGCATAGACTCTTCTCTTTCCCCTTATTTAGTTAATCCCAATTTCTTGTTAGCGGCGTCATCTCGTCAGTTTTTACATGTTTATGATTCTCTAAATCATTATTAATAACGTGATACTTTTTTTCTTAGTTTTCAGAATGGCGATCCGCACCTACGAAGCATCCTACAAGAAGTACTTTCCAGATACCTACGAAAAGATCGGTAAAGATTCTACACATGATGAAGTTCGGCAACTTTACGACGAGTGGGCAGTCAAATATGACGAGGTACGTACAGCTTATTAATCCAGCTGAGTGTCACTGGCTAAAGTGTCTCCTCGCTACGGTCATAACCAAGAAATACGTTGAGTGTTTACCCGGCCGTCAACTGCCGCTTGTAATCTCCGGGCTAAAACATCTTCGTAAAGCGTTTTAGAAGGTCTTATAAACGGAGGGGATTATGTCCGGCGGGGCAACTTGTCAGATTGCAGATTTTATTATTTTATGTTATTATGATGACTCCAAAGTCCTCTTTCACACGTATCCGGTTTTTTTTTTAAACGAGGATTGGTCTTTCAGTTTTTGTGGAGTATGGTTTTGTCTGACTGGGCAGAATCAGGGAGGGGAGGGAGGAGACCGTATGCTGGCTTCCCCCATTTCTCTCCACAAAGCTTTATTCAGAACACAAACTAATTTGCTTTCCATTCATTTGATCTCTTCAGCAAATTGGTGCAGCTGGTGCGGCGTTCCACAAGCCACTCTCTGACTACATGAACAGTTTTGTGAAGGAAAGTTTTCCCAACACACCTAAAGATCAGCTGAAAATCCTCGATGCTGGAGCTGGAACTGGGCCAATAGGGATCGAACTTGATAAACTCGGTTACACTTGCGTCCACGCGCTTGATATCTCGGAAGAAATGCTGAATGTAGCGAGACAGAAAGGCGTGCCATACAAGAGGTTTATCTGCACAGCTCTGACGGAGAAGAGGGTATGCGAAGTTGAAACAGGAGAATTCGACATTGTGATTGCCGCTGGTGCTTTGATAATGGCAAACGTGCGACCAGAAGCTTTAGTGGAGATAGTACGAATGGTGAAGAAAGGTGAGTTGGTTTTTCTGTCTTTGAGTGAGGGAGAGTTAGATCTAAGGAGACGCGCTTTTCGAAACCTTCGCTTTTGCTGTGATAAAAACGTTCCAATGCTCCACCGCACATTCTGCTACGTATTTCTAAGGCATACCTGGCTCCCGAGTGAAGTGGAAAGGGGACATGGGTGACTTCCGCATGTAAAGTATGGTGATGTGTTTGAGCTCCCCTCCCCCCCCCCTCACCCACCCTTGATCATTGAAAAGGACTATATTGCAATAGGTACCAAATACCACCATTTACACCACTAATCGAGACAACAACCATTCCTGCCTCTTTCTTATGGAAGATCCCCCCGGATATGATGACGCATTCTCAGCAGTGGTCCGTGTACACTGGCGCAGTAGTCCTCTCTTTTCAAAAGCTCCGAAAGCCCTGTTTTATATCTGTTTACTGCAGATTCTTGTTCAGTAGTCTAAGATGGGTAGAGAATTTTGGTACTTCGAGTCTATGATAAGGCAGCAAAATTTCAGTCTAACGTGTTTTGTTTAAGCTAAGGGTTTTAGGGTGGCGCACCAAAAAATATCTTGGTTGCCCCCATGGCTTTGTAGTCATAAGACCCATGCAACACGGACAATCTACTACCTTGTCCCCAGGCTTTTCCCTTAACAACAAATAAAAAAAATGGGACAGCTGCCCCTCCATTTTCTTGAACAAAGTACGAAACGGTTTAGACGGGAAATAAATAGTTTTCAGCTTTACACCGTTTGAGTTTTACTGAGCAAAAATAGTTTTTTTACAGTTACAAACCCCTAGCTATAGATTCACTTAGCTCAACGCAGGTTTTATTTCTTTTATCGTACATAGGTGGTCTCGTCTGCTTTTCGCTCCGGTACAATGAAGTAGATCACTATGAACCAAAGATGACGGAGCTAGAAAAAGAAGGAATATGGGAAAAACTTGGCAGCAAGAAAATCCCCTACTTTAATCAGGAGGATATGCCCAGTTATGCCTATGGATTTACGTACAAAGTTTTGAAGAAATGAACTATAACGTGAAGTAACTGTGGGGTCAATATACGGCTTAATTTCAAGCATTGTAACCTAAGAATAGGCTAGGCTGGCAGTCACTTTCTTTTGAAAGAAACTTCAGTTCCGTTCAAATGTATAAGAACATAATTTAGAGTTTGAAAGCACTGAGGTTTCCGTCAAAACCAGGCCACCTCTTGCCTCCTAACACGTCCATTCAAGGCTAGTTTACTCAGTAGAAAACCTTGATGATACGACAACTCCGACGCAATCAAAACGGCACTTTCGGCACTGAAAATTAGTGACTTTGGGTCTCTCAACCTTTTTTGTTATTATTTTAATTCGTTCTGAGTTAACTGAAGTGGAGAAAATCATAGTTAACTTGGAGATCAAGAGAGAGGACACTATCGGAGTTTGAATCAATACAATTTAGGTTTCTAGGAAACTGCCCACCTACCCCTCCCCTAAGCCATCTTTTTTCCCTAAGTGAGAAGTGTTAATGTTACCTTAGGGGAGGGGTAGGTGGGCAGTTTCCCAGTACTATAGATAATTTAACGTCGTAGCCAATTGAGGACTGCGAAACCTGTTATTAATAGTTTTTTTTTTGGTAAGTTTCCTTCGCCATGCGTCACTTTGTAGTTCCATACTGTTACTATTTTGTAAGCTTATTATAATTATTAAAAGTTTTTTTTTTAAAAGGAAAGGTCAACTAAGTTATTCATTGTTTAGTAGACGGACGAAATAAAAAGACGTTTTGTATACAGAAGTGTTGGCTAGTATTTATGGTTCGGAAAAAAGTGCAGGGAAATATTAATCTATGCAGTATTTATGACAAATGCAAAAGGCCCACTGCGAAAAATAGCGCCAGAGAAGAAAATGGCTACGCGTTTGAGAGAGCTTAACTATATGTTTGCACTATATGCACGGGCACGAACCTCACAGGGGCGGATCCAGACAAGGGGGGGGGGGGGGGGGGGGTCATTCAGCCCCTGGGAAAAGCCGGGGGGGGGCCTTGGGCCCAAACAAGTAAAAAGAAGGGAAGTTCCCTGCTTCCCCCATGGTGAACCCAAACAAATTTTGACCCTTTTTCCTTTCCCTTAAAACGATTTCCGGCATTTTTTTTTTTTTACTTTTAGCCCGCGTATTTCCATTAACCAAGGCATTATTTAGGACAAAAGCAAAGGGCCCACGGCGAAAAAAACGGCCGAAAAAAAAAATGGCGACGCGTTTAGGAGAGCTTAAATTTATTTTTGCACTAAATGCCGGGGCACGAACCTCACAGGGGGGGATCCAAAAAAGGGGGGGGGGGGGTGGCGGTCATTCAGACCCTGAGATAAGCCGGTGAGGGGCCTTGGTCTCAAACAAGTAAGAAGAAGGGAAGTTCCCTGCTTCACTCATGGTGCAGCCAAATCAATTTTGACCTCTTTTCGTTTCCCTTGAAAGCATTTGCTGCAATTTTCTTTCTTTCATTGTAAGCCGTCGATATCCTGTCGTTTTTTTCCCATAATCTTCACATGAACATGTTAACCGAAAAAAAATAAAATGGAAATAAAAGGAAACAAATAAAAAACGTTTCATTGACTTAAAAGACCTCTACGATTTTCCAAGACTTTTTAATAAATTTCCTTGGTTTGAAGACTTATTATTTCCCCCTTCCTTTTTCCCAAGCGAAGCGTGGAAGCCCTGTAGTAATTCTAATCTGGTTCCCTCCATCAGGACTCAAATGGAGTGGGCCATAAATTATTCAATCCGGGCACGCGATTCTCTTATAGTTCCGAGTTTCAACACTCACTGCATGAAAGACTCCATCGCGTATAGAGGCGCAGTCCTATAAAACGCAGTGACCTACAATAGACCGTTTTACCGATACGGCGGCCATATTGAATTTATCAAATTTATGGAGTATTATGGGATGCTCAGGGGGCACTCGCTCAGTTTTTTCGGGCGCTTTTCGGGCAAAAAGAGAACTTCAATGTATATTTCTAGGGGAAAAAGGTGATATCATAATTAAATCCAAACACGGCACAACGATCTATTTTTCCCGTTACAATCTTTTTCTAGGAAAACGTAAAGAAAAATTGGCCCGAAAAGCGCGCGTAAATACTGTTGCGAGTATATCGGATCGTGCTCATGCCCCCTGGGCATCCCATAATACTCCTTAAATCCAATTAATTCAATATCGCCGCCGTATCGGTAAAAAGGTCTATTATAATACCCTGTCAAATGATATTTAACACCGTAACTTAAAGCCAAAGCTCAAATCTTCAGATATCTTCAATGAAGAATTAAGTTTTAAGATAAAATCCGCATCTACTTTTAGTTTTAATATGTTGTTTGTAAATATCATTAGTTTTATAGATTCTTATTAACATGAGTTAGCTAAATTCAAACTACCCCACAAGCTCATGTTGCCCTAATACACATGGTTTTTAGATAAAGGCCATCGATAGTTTATCCCCTTACAATTAGCTGAAAGCCAGGACAGTTGGCAGTCAAAATGTCAGTACGTGATTACAGCACTTTTCCGCAGAGCATTGTGGAGCAGTGGCTTGAACAAAGAGACAAAACCTTGAGTTTTAATGGCAGAGACAAGCATTTGGGTGTAGAACAGTCCTCGTCGGTTTGGTACCCCAGCCGTCCGCGCGATCCTTTACCCCACGAGAACACTTCACCCTCATCGCTTACTGCGACTGTAAATGTGTCACCGCAAGACACTAGAGTCAATTGCTTGTTCTCTAAGGCGTGTACAATCTGGGGTTCACGCGAGGACACCGCGCGGTCATAGCCTAGCTGCCCAAAGGAGTTGGAGCCAAATGTCACGCATTTACCACTGGCAGTCAGCACAGCGGCGTGGGATGTTCCCATGGTAACAGCTTTGACATGATCGGCCGTCAGCAGCCGGGCAGTTATAGGTGTGAATGTCTGAGATTCCTCGACAGTGTTTTGACTGCTATCCAGGGCCAGCTTGTTGCATCTGTTGCTACCGCAAGCCAACAACCTGTAGTTGAGGGCCAGAACAAAGGAGCAATCCACACCACATTTGACAGCTTTGGCCGTGAAGCCAGGTTCCAGGCCCACGGGTTGAGGTAGAGGGTATGACTGCTGGTTTCCAAGCCCCAAACGGCCGTTGTCTCCTCGTCCCCAGGCAAATAGCTCGCGGTCAGTTGTTACAACCATCACGTGGGCAGAGCCACAGGATACCTACAGATTTTAACGACAGATCACAATAACGAATCTACACACTATGTTTTCTAACAAAATAAAGGGGGAGAGTCTCCTTACAGACACACAAAAAAGTAATCGCAGGTTATGTTGCAGGAACACGATTTCCAAGAACAAAACGTTAACTCATTTTTGTTACCCTTAGTCAGTGCTTAACTTTGCATAGCACACTCCAATCACCCTAGAAATAATGAAGTTTTGGCAGATTTGGATCTTTAAATTTAGTGAGGGGCCTGCTCGTCCTGTCCCTAAGATAAGTCAGTTTTATGTACATGCAGTTAAAGGTTGTAGTATGTCCTAGCCGAAAAGTCATTTCAACCAGCCTGCAAATAAATAACTAAATAAATAATAACAAGCTATGATTACTAATTCCTCTGTAATTTTGGATTCCCCCAAAACTTCTCTTGTCCGTCAAGCAAGTTAAGAACAGAACTCACTAGCCCAGTAGCAAAATCTATAGCCACGAGCTATTGGAAACTGCTTCCTTTGCATGCTGGGCATTCTTGAAAACAATTTTTTCTTGGCCCTGTGGGCCTCAGTCAGGCTTATACATAACGTGGGGCCCCCAGCCCCCTTTCCTTACATAGATCTGCCACTAAATTGTTGGTCATACACTGTAACTGTAATTAGACATCACAGATGGTACCTGTTCCACTTCAAATCCAATCAAAGCCTCCACAATCTTTGCTTGTAAAACATCATTATAGTTACCATGCCCCAATGAACCATGTGTACCACTTCCAAAAGTCATGAGAATGCCACGATCTGCAACAAAGTTTGGGGTTGCATTTAAGTAAATAATCAAATAAATAAACTTCATTTACTGCCTATCTCAGAAAACTATGAACAAATGTGTTCATGCAGTCATTACTAAGATCAGGACACATGGGCACTGACACAGTGAATTCAGTTCTAAAGCAATCATACAGTCTGCAGTTTTTGTGAATGGCCCAATATTCAAAATGTCATGTGGGACAGATCAGCCCTTAGAACCTTAAGCAGAGCTTGACAAAAAAACTCTATCTGGGTGATGAGTATAAATTATTTTTTTTCTGGGTAAGTAACATTTTAAACTCACTTCTCCAATGGGCATGGGTCAATTGCAAGTCACCTTGTCATCTATGACTACTACGCAATGGATACAGGCAAGAAAAATGTGATAACTGCTTGTTAATATCCAAAGGAAAAGCTTAAATTCAAGTTCATTATGATCCTTGTTTAGACGGGTTATTTCTTACATGTATTTCTAGACTGAACAAATACCTTAGCCTTAGGGTCATTTGCCCAGGGTAAAAAAAAGATTGGATCATTACAAGTTTCTGGGAAACTACCCACATTCCCCTCCCCTAAGTCAACATTAACACTTACAGATGTACTTCTCACTTTGAGCAAAATGTTGGCTTAAGGGACGGGTGGGTGGGCAGTTTCCCAGAAACATATTCAATATAATATGTAATAATCCAAAACTCGGAGTTTCAATTTGAAAGAAAGTGCTGGCATCAAAGCTGGAAGAAAATACGGAGACTACAATTTGAAAATATATAAAGTGAAGAAAATGAAAATGACCTGTGAGAATAAGGGTGGGTAATAGCCTTTTAAAACAAAAATATGTTATTTCTGTGTATTTGTGAAACAAAAAAGGAAAGTCGTTCGGTTAAATTTCCACTGTGCAAGCAGGCCTGAGTTTTTAGTAATTGCTCGTTTACATTTTTTACATATCTTTATTTATCCGTGGAAATAATTTCATCAATGCCATGAATGGTTAAGTAATGAATCCCAAGGAGTGCAAGATATTAAATATCTTAAATTATGTGTTTGGCTGTTCTACTCTGTCTACTTTTCAATATTTCTGCCGATTTGCGAATGGAGGTGCGAAGATATCAACGCATGAATATTAACAGGTTTAATGTGGTGCTTAAAAACAATTGGACTCGATGGTAGCCTATGCTTGGCAAAAATCTAATAATTTTACAGTTGATTTTACAGTTGATTTTACATTTTAAATCCATATGGTTCCAAGCGTTTCTTTTGCATTAAGTGACAAACGTGACTCATGGTCAAAATAATTATCAGCTGAATTAGATATTTACCTCAATGGACAGAGATAACCACACACAACAATCAAATTTAACGCCTCAACAGGCAAAGAATACATTAATTAATTACATGTGGCACCGAAGTCGCTTAACAAACGCTGGTTTGCTTTGTGCTTTTCGCACATTTTCGCAGAACAGCAAGCTAGAGTTGGCAGTTTACTCAATCCGAACAGAAGAATATAACTTTAGCTTGGCATATCACTTCTGTTGAATGCACAGAGAAAAAACTATCTCCATGAAGGAGGATTTAATTGATACCTTTGTGCTTTCAACTATTCGCGAATCATCAAATGGAGCAGCCAAACACATATAAATCTCGAGTCTTCCTCGAGATTCATTACCAAAACGCTTTGGATCAAGACCTTGATGAATACACCCACAAGCAAATAAAGACATCTAGAAAATATTTATATACAGTAGCAATTTACTAAACGCTCATCTTGCGCATCTAGAATCTACTTACATTCTGGAAACTTACTTGACATCTCTCAATCTCGTCTACGTGCGTTTCACGTGATGTCATCCCACAAGGGTGAATATCCCAGATAATACGAAAACAATTGATTGTGTATGCTTCGGTTCTTACATCCAAACAAATCTTGGCATTTTTCCGCTATTGTACAGAATGGTGTGCTGCCTCACCTAAAGAGCCTTGCCATCAAAAATATTAAATTTGACTGCATTCAAGATGGAAAGCTCTGTAATTATAATACACAATGTACCTGTCAAACAAGCTGCAAACGTATCTCCACAGGACACCTGGACAATTGTCACCCCAGACTGCCCCTCAAGAAACTTTGGTAGCCAAAGATCCTCCAGTAACTTCTTTCTGTCTGCAGTAACATCTGACGACACATCCATTGCTTTCTTGTTTGAATCCCAGATGATTGCACGGCCACCGCCTGTCACTCCTGTCTTCATTGTTCTTCCAGATGCGACCTGCACTACATCAGAGTCATGTTGCGGAAGTTGTAGCTTAGTGGGTGTGGTGATACCGCCACCCCAGTGGTACACTAAATACCTGGGCTCAAGTGGCTTAGTGGAATATGCATCCATATCAGAAAGGCCATCCAGGGAAAGAGATGCTGACTTTGAAGAACTTGTGCGATAGATTTGCGTACCTGTAGGTCTGTTGGTACTTGAAGATCTAGCACGAGTAGGAGGAATGGCAGCTTTGAAAGCAAAGTGATACAGTAATCGACATGTTAAGACAGTTTTATTTACTTATGACAGCAAACAATAGAAGGAATATTTATATACACTGTATAAACTCTGACAGTGACCAAAACCAAAATTCTCATTACTCTTTTTATGCTTACATATAATAATCAAATATACAGGGCATGAGAATGCCAGGGTTAATCACTATAATAATATTTTATTGATTTTTAATATTTTCTACAGACTACTATCAACGACACACTTTAGAGAATTGGTGTACTAACTTAGAACAAACGCCACTGAATCATAGTCAACAGTTACCAACATCGTACCCCCACGACTTATTGAGGGACTAAAGGAAAACTAACTATGAGAGAATGACTGATAAAATCATCTAAGAATTTTTACAAGATTTTCTGGCCTAACAAAACCTCACTCATCCAAAGGACGACTTATGAAGTTATCTTAATCGTCCGTACGAGACTGTAGTCGGAAGTCGGCCGGACGATTGCAAATATGGATCCCTGATGTTCTTCTATTGTATTTTTATGAACCAAGAGGAAGTTTGGGTCTTTTAAAAAAAAGTTACATAAATGGAATGAGGCCAGTATGCCAGCCATCTTGACTGAAAACAGGCTTGGTCAATAAAGGAATTATTAAAGCATATGGCCCAAACAAAATCTGTTCTTGCGGGATAAAGTGGGAATCTGGAGCAAGCAAGTTAGGCCCATCTGGCCCATTCAGGTAGTCAATCAGAAAGTAGAATTCGCTTTATTATATGCATGCTGAACCAGTCATCTTATAAAACACATTATTATTCATTCAAAATATTTCCCCAATTCTGATTGGCTACGAGCACACGCATAATTCACCATAACCAGTTACTGATGACCATATTTGGAAGAATTTTGTGTTTAACGAGGAAATGATGTCAAAAATGCAGCCTTCTACAGGTTAAGGCACCGTTAACCAAGAAGACCTGGGGACGAGGTTGAGTTGTTTTGGTCGTGAAAAAAAGGCGGACATTTCACTCGTTTCAAGAGTAAGAACTGCAGCTGGAACTAGGCGAAATAATAACTAAAAACATGGCAAAAACAGCAAGAAGACAACTCGGAGGGCGACATCTGCTATTTGGAGAATATTTGCGGAGCTGGACAAACCTAAACGTACACTATCGAAGATGAACTTAACATTGATGCAGGTAGGCATGTTTTAGCTATGTTTTTACACTAGGAAATAATTTGAATGAATAATAAAACAATTAATGAAATAGGCTTTCGCAGGATATGAAGAATTAAGCAGATCTCGGAGACTGTTATCCACCTCGGCCTTCGACCTTGGTAGATAACACCCTCCTTGATCTGCTTAATTCTTCATATCCTACTCAGCCTCATACATTAATTGCTAATTATACAATACAATCAAGAATGGTAGCATTACCAGATATCCCTGCAACAGGTCTTGGAGTTCTGTTACATGGCACTCGCCCAATGTCAGTGCCCATATTGAACAGTGCATTTACTACCAGAGGCTGTGCCATGATCTGTGGAAGGGTCGGTCTCTTGGCAGGATCAACTTGTAACATGCTTAGAACAAGATTCTTCATGTCCTCACTGTATCTTTCAGATATGGGATTGAAGTTTCCTTTCATGATTTTCAGCACAAGAGCAGGCAGATTAGACGCCTCAAAAGCTCTTTTTAGTGTTGCTAGTTCATAAAGCACACAGCCAAGAGCCCAAATGTCACTTTTTTGATTATACGGCTTACCCTCACACAGCTCAGGCGAAATGTAACATGGAGTGCCGATGACAGAGTGAGCCTTACTTTTGCTGCTCAACACTTTCGAAATGCCGAAATCGCCTATCTTCACAACCTTCCGTGTTTTGTTCAGTAGGATATTCTGTGTTTTAAGATCCCTGTGAAGGATTTTTTGTTTGTGCACATGATAAATTGCTACCAAAATCTGCACAAACAGTCGAATAATCTCTTCTTCGTCCAAAAGTTTGCCTTCGCGTTCCTCGATAAGATTATGCAAAGTTCCACCTTGGGCATATTCCATTGCGATCATAAAAGAAGTTTCTCCGAAGAAACTGTCGAAATAAGCGATTATATTAGGGTGTTTTAACATCTGCAGAACATGAACTTCATTTAAAGCGGCCCTCCTTTCTTCTCCAGTCATTTGTTCGACCGGAATGTCCTTGATGATGACATGACGACCATCACATTTTCTTCTACAAAGGTAAACGGTTCCATACGCTCCACGGCCTATACTTTTGATTTTTTCATAGTTTTCCATGTTTAAAACAGCTGAAACGCCTCCTTGGAAAGAAATCCGTAAAGGAAAAAGGCCAAAACGCGATGAAAAACCAAAGATCGTGTCAAGAACTGCAGCAAAAATTTAATATCTCCGTAGTAAAGTATTGTACGTCACGTCATGTAATCCTATTAGTGTGTGCCTCGTCTTGAAGATGATAAGAGTGAGGACTGGGAACAACAACTTTCGTTGTTGCCAACAAATATGTCGGCCAAACAGTTGAAATTTTTTGCCAGAAATCTTTTAAAAATATGAGCTTGGAAACGTCTGATTCGCTGAGGCAACAGTTCCAGTTAATACAGGAACAGCAACAGAAGAAACTTCTTGCCAGGAAACAACGGAAAGCAAAGAATAATGAGAAAACAGGGCAAGAAGATGCTAGCTCAACTACAGACACCTTTTGGGGTCATGACGGACAAACTGACAATTTAGATTTAAAGGTTTGCAAGATCTATATATATGTATTATTTTATTTATATATAATTCATATAAAAACACTGTCTTTCTAGTTTGATCACATATTTACATTATATATGCTAAAACAACATAACAGCAACAACTTTAACATCGTGGCAGCGCGTCAGACTCGTAATGCGGCGGTCCCGCTGGGTTCAATTACTTGCTGGATTTGTTCGTGGTTGTCCCGAGTTCAAATCCTTGGCCACGCTTGTAAATAGCCAACTTGTTGCCTCCTGCCAGTTGGAGTTTTTAATCCATTTATGTTGTATTTGAATTATTCGTTTTTTAAGCATTTGAGAGGAGTGCCTGTAAACTAGCTGGATGAGCTAAGTGCACTTTCCACTATAAAACAGCCTAATTAAACCTTTTTAACATTTTATTACTTTAGTAGTTACTAATTAGAGACCTTTAGATTCCAGGACGAGAACGAGTACGAGTATGAGATTTAACTTAAAGTTTTTTTTTGCTTATTCTCAAAAACTAGACACCCCGCGGGAAAGCTTTATTGTACTTTTTTTATTCATAAGACAAGATAGCAGTGTTATCTATATTGAAGGAGCTTAAGCCCTCTCTCGATCGCAAAATGATAAAACTTCTAACATTTTATAACTCGCTTCCGCCACTACGACATTCTCACTAAAACTTGTAGTACTGAACGAGAACAGCTATAACGTTTTCCCGCCAAAATGGCGCTGGCTCATGCGCGTGCACTACCTAGTATTGAGGAAATCTCATCCTCGTAGTCGTATGTGTCTTAGAATATAAAGGTCTCTATTTAGTGGTGCTTTAAGACTCCTGGCCAGGGAGTAGTACATTAGAAAGCCTGCATGTATGTGATACCCAATAGGCAAGGGTTGAGGAAAGTCATCCTCTAACAAAATCATTAACTAAGACAAGCAAGAAATTGCCCTGGGCAGGCAAAATGAGAGAGCTGGAATTCATTTTTTTTTTTCAAGCCCTGAACACACAAGCACATAAACAGTTTGTTAATGTTGAATTGTACAATTTAACTTCTCATTTATACATGTATCTCATTGTGCATTACTTTTCTACATTATATGACACATCATCATCATCTCGATTAGCCTGAAATTCATCCGATTGCTTCAAGTCATTTTCTCCTCTCAACAACATCTGAATCGACCGGCCCTTAATGCCGTCCAGTGACGTCACTCACTACCCGAAAACCGGGTAGTGATTTTGATTGCTTGATTGTCTAAACATTCGAATAATTATGTATAATTATGAAAAATTTTAGCGGGATTGTCGCTTGATATTCAGCGGATCGCATCCCTGGCATTCTTTCGTTTAGTTCAAACATTCCGATAAGCTTTATCTTTATCTTAAACGGCAAAATTGCCGTTGTCTTCGAAACTGAAATGCTAAATTGACCTGGGAATAAGGAATCATTATGGAGAGTCGGTAGGTTTTTCAGGGGTTTTTTTTGTTGTTTTCTTTTTGTTGTTTCAGCGGCCGGTGAAGTTTTCTGAGATCAATGTTATAATTCTTCCTTCTTGCTATTTTTACCGTCAAGTGTAGTGATTCTGTTAGCTTTTCTTTCTTGTCTCCTTGTTTTTTTCTTCGCTAAGGACCAAATAGCTTCTTTTCAATTAAAGCAAATCATTGTGTTTTTGAACTAAGTTTTCCGTGTGTGTGTTTATTTCATTTCGTGATTGCGACCGAGTTTGATTATAGAATTTAGTACAACCGATTTAGAGTTGTACTGCATGCAGTTGATAGTTTGAACGTTAAACATGAATTACAATCGAAAAAAATAAAGCAGTTCTGTATCATGCAGACATTTCCAAACGATATTTCTCGGTTTGCCACTTGAAAATCGTGTTTTACTTTTTGCATGAGTTAAAGCAAAGGTCAAGGAGTAGTGATGTCACTGGACGGCATTATCGGCCCGTCAATTCAGACGTTACTGAGGGAGTAATAACGACTCAAAGTAATCGGATGAAATTCAGGCTACATCTCGATTAGGTTGGTAAGAGCCATCAGTTAGGCAACACACCAACCGCTTACAAATATAAATTAAAAAGTAAAAATTACATGCAACAATTAGTATTCAGAATAAAAAAGTAAAAAAATTAACTAAGGTAGTTCAACTAGATTCTTCAGTTAACAAAGATCCATGAAAGTCAGCAATATATTTACATATTGTACATGTACTCAAAAATGGTGTACATGTATATTTATGTATTTCATTTTTCTGGTCACTTAGTTACATGTCTGGTCAAAATGAGATTTGTCCGGACATTGTCCATTGATTGGTTGTTATTTGAGCCCTGCAGGTGGTGTATGAAATGCTACATGAAAAGGCAAATAAAGCACCATATGTGAAATTACTGCCAACAAAGCCACATCAATTTTTATGGTCTCACCATCATATGATTTCATCCACAGACTCAAAAGTTGTAGAACCATTTTCCAAGACTCCATAAGGGTTAAAAGATGTTGAGTCCAGACTTCCTTTAAACCTCAAAAGGCAAAAACCTTGATTTTCTAAACCTAGAGCTGGGAAAAGTAGTGAGTAGTGAGATGTCCTCAATTTCCTAGTGGGCGGGCTTCCAGTGGGGATTAGGGGTATTTGAAGTTCGATATCTTAAAAACTGGAGCAGTGAAAATCCCAGAGACATGGTTGAAGAATGTAAACAGTACTGTGAGTTGGCAATTCACACCTTAACTAAATTCACTCAAATGTGACCACTAAGCATTAGATTGAGTTTGCTATCTAAATTGAAATGAACCCTAGAGATGGTGCAAAAATTGTATGGAGTTTGACTTTTTTAAAAAGTGTGAGAAATCAGTTGTCAACTTCTTGTAGGCAGTCCTGTATTAATTGATGCTGGAATCAAAGTCAAACTAATAGTAAGTACTGTGTACATTATAGATTAATTTATTAATCACCTTTTTGTTCTTTTAAATACCCAGCTTGATACTGCTGTTGCAAATGGTGGAGATCTTTTTATGCAAAAAGAAGTAGACGAGCTTAAGGATGTTATCCGGGTTAGTTATGTTAGACGTTGTTTGTTAAATACATGACTTTTGTATAAGTCATGAACCAGGGCTTCTGATACAATGATAGTGTGATTTGTTTGTACATGTGTAGATCTACACGTGCAGTTTGTACATGTATGTCAAATCATATCCAACAGCATCCAACAGCATGATCCACAAGAAATTTAATCTTTCATTAATAATATTCACATAATTATGCATAATTTAGAAAAAATAACAAACAAAAATGCTCCATGCAATTTAAGGTTACTTTGCTTTGGGAAACATGTGCATGTAGATCTTCTAAAATTTCTAATGTTGGTGTCAAACTAAAAAAAGATTTTCTCACCGTATCAGAAGGTTTTGCTTCAGTTATTCAAAACCTGGATAATGCATATTGGCTTACATATCTATTACTTTTCCACTATTGATAGTGTCTGACGGATAGACTGCTAGCCAACATATTTTGAGCAACTGGGGTCTGGTGTAAATTTAAGGTATAAAATAATGAACATGTACCGGGTTGTATGGTACCAGTTTATAACAAATCAGGGCTTCTGATATTTTGCGGAAAAAAAAGCAAAATTTCACGGGATTTTCGGGGACAAATTCGCAGAAAAATCGGCCAATTTCGCAGGATCTTCGCGGGAGAAAAGTCAAAATTCGCAGAAAAATTGGCCGATTTCACGGGATTTTAGTGGAAAAAAGTCAAATTATGAAGGATTTTTAGGGGCAAATTCTAGGAAAAATCGGCCGATTTCACGGGAAATTTCGGAGGGAAACTTCGCCAAGAAACAATCAGTAAAAAACAGCCAATTTCGCTGGATTTTTTTTGGGCAAATTTAGCTAAAATCGATCAATTTTGCGTCGATATGACCAGCGTTTTTTAACGTTTTTTTAACAGGGATAATCATTTGCTCTTTCCACGACAGTTCGCTCGAGAAATGAGCGAATGCTAAAGCTATTAACATTATGGTTAGTACCCAGTTTTTTGCAACGTTCATCTAAAAATGCCTGGTAGTTTTGGGATGTTGTTTACTCGTTGCAGTGATGAAGTTTCAGGATAAATTTGGACGTTTGGGGTGAAGAAAACAGGTCTAATAGCCAAGATAAGTATTAAATATGTTTTGCCGACATGTATTTGGAAATATTTCTGGCGGATTTCGCAGTATTTCGCGTTTTTTGGGAATTTCGTGGTATTTCGCGGGTCCACGACCGCGCGAAATATTAGGAGCCCTGAACAAATGTCGAATCTACTTACTCAATACACAAGTAGCCTGACATGCCACAGATGAAACCAAACCTCTAGTTAGGGTTAAATTACGTCTGGAATGAAGGCTAGTGGACAGATGTATTATGTGAGAGTTGTCAAGAATATTACTCTGCACAATTAATTAACCTAAAATTAAAACTTTTCTTTTCCTTCATAATCTTTTATTTTTATTTTAAAAGCACTGATTTGTATAATAATAATTATTATACAAATTAATATTAATATAATTAATATTCTGTATGAGTTTAAATAAAAATGACTTGACTTGACTTGACTTGGTTGCTTTAATAAAGTATCACTTGCAATATTACCATAAATTGTAGTAAAAATAATAATATTAACATAAACATTAAGTTTATTGTGTTGAGTTTACTGACCCACCCCTGCTATGTAGTACATGTAGCTGAGTACGTTTATGTGAATTCATACCTTTAGGTAAGTACATTTTGTACCTTTATGTAAGATTTAGGCTACAAGTACACATTAAATTAATTATTCTGTAAGGTGTTTTTAGAATTTGACTTTTTAAAGGCAAATAAAGCACCATATGTGAAATTACTGCCAACAAAGCCACATCAATTTTTATGGTCTCACCATCATATGATTTCATCCACAGACTCAAAAGTTGTAGAACCATTTTCCAAGACTCCATAAGGGTTGAAAGATGTTGAGTCCAGACTTCCTTTAAACCTCAAAAGGCAAAAACCTTGATTTTCTAAACCTAGAGCTGGGAAAAGTAGTGAGTAGTGAGATGTCCCCAATTTCCTAGTGGGCGGGCTTCCAGTGGGGATTAGGGGTATTTGAAATTCGATATGTTAAAAACTGGAGCAGGGAAAATCCCAGAGACATGGTTGAAGAATGTAAACAGTACTGTGAGTTGGCAATTCACACCTTAACTAAATTCACTCAAATGTGACCACTAAGCATTAGATTGAGTTTGCTATCTAAATTGTAATGAACCCTAGAGATGGTGCAAAAATTGTATGGAGTTTGACTTTTTTAAAAAGTGTGAGAAATCAGTTGTCAACTTCTTGTAGGCAGTCCTGTATTAATTGATGCTGGAATCAAAGTCAAACTAATAGTAAGTACTGTGTACATTATAGATTAATTTATTAATCACCTTTTTGTTCTTTTAAATACCCAGCTTGATACTGCTGTTGCAAATGGTGGAGATCTTTTTATGCAAAAAGAAGTAGACGAGCTTAAGGATGTTATCCGGGTTAGTTATGTTAGACGTTGTTTGTTAAATACATGACTTTTGTATAAGTCATGAACCAGGGCTTCTGATACAATGATAGTGTGATTTGTTTGTACATGTGTAGATCTACACGTGCAGTTTGTACATGTATGTCAAATCATATCCAACAGCATCCAACAGCATGATCCACAAGAAATTTAATCTTTCATTAATAATATTCACATAATTATGCATAATTTAGAAAAAATAACAAACAAAAATGCTCCATGCAATTTAAGGTTACTTTGCTTTGGGAAACATGTGCATGTAGATCTTCTAAAATTTCTAATGTTGGTGTCAAACTAAAAAAAGATTTTCTCACCGTATCAGAAGGTTTTGCTTCAGTTATTCAAAACCTGGATAATGCATATTGGCTTACATATCTATTACTTTTCCACTATTGATAGTGTCTGACGGATAGACTGCTAGCCAACATATTTTGAGCAACTGGGGTCTGGTGTAAATTTAAGGTATAAAATAATGAACATGTAACGGGTTGTAAGGTACCAGTTTATAACAAATCAGGGCTTCTGATATTTTGCGGAAAAAAAAGCAAAATTTCACGGGATTTTCGGGGACAAATTCGCAGAAAAATCGGCCAATTTCGCAGGATCTTCGCGGGAGAAAAGTCAAAATTCGCAGAAAAATTGGCCGATTTCACGGGATTTTAGTGGAAAAAAGTCAAATTATGAAGGATTTTTAGGGGCAAATTCTAGGAAAAATCGGCCGATTTCACGGGAAATTTCGGAGGGAAACTTCGCCAAGAAACAATCAGTAAAAAACAGCCAATTTCGCTGGATTTTTTTTGGGCAAATTTAGCTAAAATCGATCAATTTTGCGTCGATATGACCAGCGTTTTTTAACGTTTTTTTAACAGGGATAATCATTTGCTCTTTCCACGACAGTTCGCTCGAGAAATGAGCGAATGCTAAAGCTATTAACATTATGGTTAGTACCCAGTTTTTTGCAACGTTCATCTAAAAATGCCTGGTAGTTTTGGGATGTTGTTTACTCGTTGCAGTGATGAAGTTTCAGGATAAATTTGGACGTTTGGGGTGAAGAAAACAGGTCTAATAGCCAAGATAAGTATTAAATATGTTTTGCCGACATGTATTTGGAAATATTTCTGGCGGATTTCGCAGTATTTCGCGTTTTTTGGGAATTTCGTGGTATTTCGCGGGTCCACGACCGCGCGAAATATTAGGAGCCCTGAACAAATGTCGAATCTACTTACTCAATACACAAGTAGCCTGACATGCCACAGATGAAACCAAACCTCTAGTTAGGGTTAAATTACGTCTGGAATGAAGGCTAGTGGACAGATGTATTATGTGAGAGTTGTCAAGAATATTACTCTGCACAATTAATTAACCTAAAATTAAAACTTTTCTTTTCCTTCATAATCTTTTATTTTTATTTTAAAAGCACTGATTTGTATAATAATAATTATTATACAAATTAATATTAATATAATTAATATTCTGTATGAGTTTAAATAAAAATGACTTGACTTGACTTGACTTGGTTGCTTTAATAAAGTATCACTTGCAATATTACCATAAATTGTAGTAAAAATAATAATATTAACATAAACATTAAGTTTATTGTGTTGAGTTTACTGACCCACCCCTGCTATGTAGTACATGTAGCTGAGTACGTTTATGTGAATTCATACCTTTAGGTAAGTACATTTTGTACCTTTATGTAAGATTTAGGCTACAAGTACACATTAAATTAATTATTCTGTAAGGTGTTTTTAGAATTTGACTTTTTCTACAATATTCTTGTTATTTTAAAAAACAGGTATTAAAAGATGAAAATGGTCGACTTTATAAGCTTCTTGGAGAAAGGGATGAAGAGATGAGGATTTTGAGGAAAGCAAGAGATGAGGAGAAGAGAGCTTTGGCTGGTGAGAACTTTTTGTAGCTGTTATTATATTTAGCATAGCTGGGTCATAAAAAAGCTGGCAGGAACTCTTAACCCATTCGCCCCTGAACCGCCCATTACCGCCCGTGCAGATCCACATCCTTTCGACCCTTTGTGACGTCATCAGTTTTAACGGTCAAGGACAACTTTGTCCTCTAGCTTGTGCAGAGTGAAGAGATCTTTCAAACCATACCAGAATGAGCACAATTCAGTCAAGGACACCGGAGAAAGAGGCAAAAAACCATGTAACATTGACCTGAAAATCTCCATGAAAATCTTGTTCCATTGCCCACCTACCTTTCCTTTCACCTAATCCTAAGATCCTAAAAGCTTTCCTGAAAACTATTCCCACCAAAATGAAGCCTACTAAATGCCCAGCAAGAGAAAAAAAAATGAGGCAAGAAAAGCGAAAAAAAGAGGGGAGGAGAGAAAGCGAAAAGTAAAAGTCAAGACTGCTGTGTCACTTTTAAACCCAAAAACTATGTCGAAATTTTGCTTTCTGCGCATGCCCGAACTTCGCAAGCTGATATTTTGCATCTGGATCAGAAGGCCATCAAGTGTACGACCTATAAACCGGTTGTGGTAAGTTTTAGCTCTTTATAGCACGACAGTGACCAGAAAACCACTCGACTAGCTTCAAAATGGTTTTTCGGCAATATCTCCAGGAGCGAATGGGTTAATGTTAACAATTAATTTTGGTCACATAAAGCTGTACATTGTACATGTGTTAATGTGGTAGTTGCCTGGTGTGGTTCTACAAGGGCTGTAAATTCAGAGCTGTTATTAAGAGGCAGGGGCCAGGGATTTCCCCCGGCTACTATGAACATGGCCCCCGGCTACTTTCATATTAAAATAGAAGAAAAATAAAACCAAAAGGAATCCCTAGCTGTTTGATTCCCTGTTTGCTTGTTGTGTTTACTGACAACTTGAAATCTTGATAGTGACATCCCTGAAATTATAATACATTTTCCCATGATATGATACAGATTTTGATACAAGGGCTACAACACAATTCATGATACAATATGGGTACAGCAGCCCTAAACCTTTTTCCACCTGCAAAACTTTGAATTGAGCCAAAATATTGCCAAAATTTTAACAATGTTAGAGGCTGTTTTATATAATTAATTTTGTAAAATGTAGGGCATGGTTGGCATATTCAGAAAGAACAAGATGAAAAAAGCCCCTTCACCAAAAATGAGCCTGTTGCTGTAAATATTATTGGTGGGGAGATATAAGCACCATAATGCTCCCAATGAATCCAGGGAAATCCTTCTAAAATTGGTTTGGATCGTAATGAACTTTATGATCCAGGCCTATTTTACAGTAGAAGGATTAACCGTGTATTTGGAGTCATTGAACAATAACGTGTTTATGTCTCCCCACCAATTTGCATTTTTCGTCTTGTTTTTTCTGGAAATACCATATCCTATCCTATAATTTGAATTCACAAATTTTGTTTAGAGAGCTGTGCATTTTAACAATTTACATTTACACTGTTGTTTGATTGTTACAGCATGTTGCTATAATGGTGTACATGGGTTCATATTTTTTACTGTTATGATTGTATAGGCAGTGGAGTGGCTGCTGATACCGCTGCTGGTAGAATCATGGAACTGTCCAAGAAAAACAGGGAACTGACCGCAGACCTGGAGAGTGAGCGGAATAAAGTGCGTCAACTGACAAAGAAAGCAAGAGACATGGAGAGAGAGGTACATGTACCAACGATGATGTTAAACCCGCTTCAGGCGGGCCCTTTCACATGTACGTTGCATGTGGAGAAAACCATTCCTGGGTAGAAGGAAGGATCACTCGCCTACCTCTTCTACCCTGTGGTAGCCAACTTTTCCTACATTTCCTTACAAAACTTAGGGGACCCTTTACATGACAAACAAAAAGTTGGCTTAGCTCAGGCGTAGTTAATAGATTGGAATGGTGATGAAACCTGTCAGACTTCTTTGTTATATGTTTTTTCTGGACCTGTCAGTGCCCAACGTTCAATAGCATTCCTAATATTTTGATCTTATTGATCAATAAACACGTCCCATTAATTTATTCCCTCACTATTTGCCAACAGAAAACAAAGGATTGTGGGTGGGTTAAAATATTGTCCATGTAAGTTTTATGAAATTTATTTAATATTCATAATAGAGTGTGGATGAGTTTCTAGTCTTAATATCATAGCTGACGTATTATTCCTAAATTTTCACTCGAAATTTCAGCGTTAATTTGTAATTTCGCGATTGCCATGGCAAGCTTCCTTTCGTCTCAGTGCTAAGATGACGACGTGGTTTTAAAACGATGAATGAAGATGTCAGGGCATTAAAAGACTCTCTAGAAAATCTGAACACACGAAAGAGCTCACCAAGAAAGATTTTAACAGGTGTTTTGTCACAAATTCTGAAAAATCTGAACTTAACCCAAATTTAAGCTCTAAACTGTTTTGAGAGAGTGGAGTTTTCGATCGATACGTTCCAGGATAAACATGTAAAAAATCCACGATTGCACTCGTAATTCGTCACCCATGATATTAATAGGTAATCAAATGGTATACTCGTGAAATTAGGAAATAAATTCGATTCACTTTCGTTTAAAGGCTCGGGAAATTATTAGGATTTGGACAAAACACGCATGAAATTATTCCCTAATTTCACTCGTCATCATTTCATTACACATACTTATTGTACATGTATTAAGTGAACAAAATTAATAATATTACATTGCTCTTGTTTGCGTCCTCAGTTGATGTCTTCAGCAAATGTTCAAGGTATCACAAAACAGGCTGTTGCTGAGCAGAAGTCAAAATCAGATACAGACAAGGTAATACTGTCTTATTGTTAATTGGTTCATAAGTGTCCCATATATGATTATGATAGTTAAATGCTTGTAGCTAGAACTCTGAGTGATTTCGCCGTGGCATGAAAGCATTCCAGCCGCAAAATAACCATCAGCAACATGGCAACCAGAAGGTTTTTGCTCGAATGTGGAGCATTTGAGTGTAACAGTAAAGTACAAACACACATCTCAAGCCAAGCAAATAGATAATAGGAGGAGGCAGTGTGGCCGAGTGGTTAGCCTGTCGGACACATAGTCCAGCGGTCCCGAGTTCTAGTTCCGTTCAGATCACTTGCTGGATTTGTTCTCTGTCGTTCCGTGTTCAAATCCTCAGCTACGCTTGTAAATAGCCAACTTCATTTCTCGGTTATTTTAAGACCCTGAGTATAGGTCCGGTCCTGGGAATCGAACCCGCGACTTCACGCTTTGCAGTCAAACTTGTCCTAACGCGGTAACTTTGAAGGTGCAGTAAGTTTAATACCCAGCTTCACTAATATAATATAAGCGTGCTTAAGTTGTTTTTAGTTAGCCTATATCCTTGTGCACATTATTTTTATAAGGTGCTCAGGAGAAAGCAACCAAATTAAGATGTTGATTTTTTTTTCAGGACAGCTCTGAAGTCACTGCCCTGCAAGATAAACTGAATCAGTCAAACAATAAATTGGCAGAGTTTAGGAATCAGTGTGAGAAGCTCAAGAAAGACTTAAAAGTTGCACACAAGGTATTGCTGGAACATTACACGGAAATTTAAATCTTATTGCAGTGTTAGGTACAGTATGGTAGCAGTGTAGTTGTCACCTCAAACTTCTCAAGCCTTGCCGCCGTGTCATTTCCTTAGATAAGAAACTGGGAAGACCAGGAGATGCAGACCTTGGTGATTTGGTCTATTTCTCATGGGTGAAAGGAACTGTTACGGGCCGCAATATCGGGCTTCAGGCTTTTCTGGAGGCCCGTGTTCAAGCCTTGGAATCGTCGTGTCGTTTCATTAGATAAGAACCCTATCAGCTGTTAAAAAAGACTGGGGAATGTAGAACCTGGTGATGTTTCTTTCTCTCATGTGTTAATGGGACTTTTACGACCCGCAGTATCTGGCTTCACGCTATTCTGGCGGCCCATCTTCAAGCCTTGCCATTGTGTCGTTTCCTTAGATAAAAACCCAATCAGCTGTTCAAGAGGAATAGGAGATGCAGACCTCGTTTTTACACAGTTAGCCCAGACGTAGTGTGTATCAACAACATGAACAAAATCGGATGGATAGGAGCTAGACTAAGAGTCGACGATATTCGATCTGCATAATTCTTCACATCCTACTCAGCCTCATTCAATAATTGCTAACCATACTACGGGGCGTAACCTTGCAACGAATAAGCATGCTGCATGCTGGGAAGGAGTACTGTTTAAGCTAAGACATTTTTTGGTGGCGAACGTTAACTGGGCGTGGACTTCTTGCATTGATTCTTATGCCGTGTTTTTGCCCAATTATTCGGGAAAATCGTCTCTTAAATGACTGTTGGCGATACGAATCTGGTGGCGTCAAAGGTATATTTTAAAAAAGGGAACTGAAAAACCTCTCCCATAAACGGTCTGTCTTTACCTTTTTTCACCTTACTCCGTTTCAACTCACTTTTTCTGTAGAACATTTTTGAGGGGCATCCGTTTTGGGGCATTAAACAGCACTTATGATTGACCCATTCACATTTCAATTGCCAGTAACCACAACGGGCAAATGACTAAAAAATTGATTTATTTTTAGGTACTTGCAAAGGAAGTTGGAGATGGATTCAACATTACTTCACTGTTGAATGATTCAAGTGGGTGGAGAGGAAGACAACAGCAGATCACATCTTTGCAGAATAAGGTATAAACCGTGAAATGATTAAATGCTTCTAGACCACAGCTTCTGTACATGTAGCTAAATAGCTGATTCAGTGAAATTGCTTTGGGCATTGGGAATTGCTCACTGGTATTGTAAGCTACATGTACAAGAGAGCTTTAGATATAAGGACGAGAACGAGTAAGAGCACGAGATTTAACTAAAGTTTATGTGCGTGTTCTAAAAAAGACACCCCGGAAAACTTCATTTTATTTTCCTTTTCACCAAAAAAAGTTAGTACGGTTATTTATACTGAAGGAGGTTAAGCCCTCTCCCGATGGCAAAATGATAAGATTTCTTACATTTGATAACTTGTTCCCGCCATTACGACATTCTCGCTAAAACTCGTAGTAGAATGACGACGGCTATCACGTTTTCCTCCCAAAATGACTCGTAGTCGTCCTCGTCTTAGAATCTGAAGCTTTCTATTGTTTTGTGGCAACAGGAACCTTAAGATTCGAGGACAGCGACAGCGGCGAAAACGTTGCATAAACAGTGAATTTTGGTTTTTTCAATCTTCTTTGCGATTATTCCAAGTCATGATGCGTTGGACGGAAGACCTATTCATGCGAATGAAAAAAAAGACATGCCTTTTCCGGATTGAAATAATGGTGTACGGCACACGTTTCGTCTCATTTCTTTGCCGTCACTACACGACGATGGCTTGAAATTTCCTGATGCTGTGTACTGTTACAGTAGTACATTTGACGGAGGACCTAAACACAAGACGTTCAATTATTCTTTCTCTTTCTCTCAACTTGGTAACGGTCTAAATAATTCACGCCCAGTAGAATTTGGCCACATTTTTTCTTTTTTTTGTGTGACATTTTTGTTGCTGCCTCCTGTCTTTAACCTTTAATTTCCTCATTTTGTAAGATCAATATGATCATTGGTTTCTTTAATGGACTATTACTTGATGTACTCGCTGTTTCGTACTGAACCACTGATTTACTTTTGAATTTCAATGATAAGTATTGAAATCCTGTCCGCCTATTTCAATACTTCTTAAATTGTTCCAATGAGGGACATGGTGGACATACCCCCCCCCCCTCCTCCCAAATCGATTTTTTAGTTTTGACCCTTAAGTCTTTCTTTTACCACAAACAACGTTGATTCGGGGATAAGGGGATTTACGGCGTTTAAACAGAACGAGAAAATAAATAAATGAAATTGTTGATGAAAGCACGCGTTTCAGGCAAGTATGTCAACTACTTTGTTCCTGATTGTAGGTAACAGAGCTAAAAAGTCAGTTGGGACAGGTTGCTCGAAGCAGCTCAGCCACATCTAACAACATTCTCTTGAGGTCAGCGATGATGTCACCCTCATCATTACCATCCCAGTATGATGAGAAACATCGCTCTGTGCTGAAGAAAATTGAAAAGGATCGCAAGGAAGCACAGGAGGTGAGAAGCCAATATTAGCGACTTTTAAGATCCAATGACGCGGACGGCAACGAGAACGTCAAAAAAACGAAAGGTTTAATAAGCAAAACAACAACTTTGCACGTGCATCACGCTTTTTTGTACATTTCTTTCCCGTTTTTGCACGACTTCATCGTGAAAATGCCTAATTTCGCGTCTTAAGGAGGACGTAAACAAGCAACGACGAAATTTAATTTCTCTTTCTGAGCTTGAATATGGTCACTTGAAATTCAGCTTCAAGAAGTTTCGCCTACATTTCACAAAGTAAGTGGGTAGGAATAATCGCTCCTGATATCAAAAGAACGCAAATTTACTTTTTAAGCGACGTTCTCGTTGCCTTCACTCGTTGGATCTTAAAGTCCCTATTGTGAACGCTTTAAAACGGCTCGGTGTCACCGCTCTACAGTTGATTTAGTTGATATTGCTAATTACGCTTCCTTATGCGCCATGAAACTTAATGTTAGCAAAGAGGTTAATTGTATATTACAAATGCGCAGCTTCTTTTCCGACAAATTACCTCCCGAGAATATTATAACATGTTAAAAACTACAAAAGTGACCTTTGAAAAACTAGTAGGCTAACAAGTTTGAAAAAATCAACAATATATGCAATCCGTTTTAATCTTCTTTAACTTTGTCCATCCCTGCCTCCTTTTGTATTTTCTGTGTTATTTATGCATTCTTTCAATGTTTTGAGTGATTGTTTTTGTTTCACTTAGTTTGGTGGCAGGTCTTACAGTTTGAATTTTGATAAATTTCGTGAAAGGCTCCTTTAACTGATAGAGGTTTCACACAATTGCAATCCCTTTTAATCTCCTTCAAGTTTGTCCATCCATGCCTCCTTTTGTACTTGCTGTGTTATTTATACCTTCTTTTAATGTCTTGAGCGGTTATTTTTGTGTTTCACTCAGTTTGGTGGCAATTCCTACTGTTAGAATTTTTGCCGGATAAAATTCCTTTAACTCCTAAGTGAAAATCACATTGATCGAAATATTTATATCGGTTCCGCTACACGTTCGACTACTGTAACTGATAAATGACTTTCTGTTTTTCTGACTTTTCGTGGTTGATAAAATAATGGCTGTATTGTGGTTACAAGCCCATGTTTCGAAAACTGAGGTGTCGAAGCATGACTGGCACTGCTAGCTTGAACAGTTATAGAAAGAGCACTTCAGCAATCAGTAACACGTGAATTTACTTGAGGCTCAAGCCGGTTCAAAAGGTAGATAGCGCTATCCACCGGATACTAGATCTCTATCCATTGAATAGCGCAATTAGTTTTCCTAATACTTATCCAATGGATAGTGATTTATTGATCCGGTGAATAGCGCTATCCAGCTTTTGAACAACTGGGGCCAGACCACACGTAGATGTAGTTTGAGGCAAAGCACAAATAACCCAAAACTTGAACAGGATTTAATTCTAAACAGTACGTCCTAGATTTGATACATTGATGCTTGCATGCGGTAGGACTGTGTTGAACAACTAGGGAAATTTCTTTGCTTTTACACGCTATTATGTGTGTATATTTTATGGGCAAAGTGGTAATTTTACTCCATACCCCAGCTGTTGAAAGGCTGGATAGTGCAATCCACCCGATAAATCACTATCCAGTGGATAAGAATTAGGGAAACCAATTGCACTTATCCACTAAACAGAGATTTACCACGTTTTGTACTGCTGGGGCCAGGTGTTCTATCCCTGAACCACCACGAACACTAACAGTACCTAAACTGGCAACAATACTTATAAGTACAAACACGAGGCCGACGGTGCGCTCATTTTACCCCCTTCTCTCCAACAGTGCTCTGTTTTACGGGTGTTAAAGGTACTAAAGCTACACGGAACATTGTGCTCAGTATCTCCCTCACAGAAGGTCGCCGTACACTAACCGGCTGTGCTTATCCTTGCTCTTGTGCACATTAACGTCTAGATATATATCCATGAACCTGTAAATGTTACTGTTACTGGAGACTCTGCAAGTCGGAGAAAGCATTTGTAACATGATAAACTACCATCTGCTTAAAAGATGTCCAATTAGACATAAAATCCTTTGCTTTGGAACCATTTTTTGTTGGTGTCAGCGGTTAATTCGGAGTCTTTCTTTTCGTGACGAGCTTAACATGATTATTGTCTTAGTGACTAACTTTCTGTTGTTTATTGTTTTTGTTAGAAAACACAAGCGGAGTTAGAGAACCTGGATCGAGAACACACCAAACTACAACAAAAACACGACGCTGCCAAGGCACGCAATAAGGTGCTGACTAGTGACTTGAAAGGACTGAAGGCTCAAGTACAAACGCTATTGGAAAAAGGCGCTCATGACGATGAGCTCATTGCTGCACTTATGGTGAGGATACCATGAACTGCCGCTTATAAGCCCCCACACTTATAATCCCCCCTTCACCCCCTACACACACACACTTATGCCCTTCAGTTATATACTCATATTCATACACCTGTAAATAAAACAAAACAAAATACATCCGGTTAAACCCCCTCCCTGGAAAATAAGCCCCGTTTTAGCTTCTTCCTCCTAGGATTACCACCTCAATAAAACGTCGCATTAGGAAGTTTCACGTCGAAGTAGTGCAGTGGATGTCAAAACCAATTGTTTTTTGACGTGATCGTCGTCGTCGTTGTAGTTGCTTAAGCTCACTATTCATAAAGTCTTGTGACATTTCTGCCAGAGAGAGCAACAACAGCTTAAAAGTCAGGCTGCTAGCAGAAAGGCAACCACCCCACCGCCACCCCCTAAGGGAACGTCCCAGGACAAGGCGCAGATGGAACATCTAAAGCAAGTGTGCCAAGAAAGGGATCTGCGAATACAGCAGTTGGAGAAAGAACTGGGTCACGCCAGGCTTGAACTTAAAAACACTACAGAAAAATACAAACAATTATCTGAGCGCGAGACTAAATCTGTGGCTTGCTGCACTGAAGATTTAACAACGAACGAGGAAAGAGTAGAACAGAATGGACCTAGTTACGGTTTTACTGGCGTTAATACTCAAGCTACAAGAACTGTGCCAGGTTACGGGTTTGTTAATAGTTCTGTAGAAGGTCCATTGCTTAAGGGACCTTACCCACAGGGTGCTGAGGACTTAGGGGCTCAAAACAATGGTTTCATACCGTCAAGGAAATATGTGCCCCCTGAAGGACCAAGTAGAAACCAAATTGGATCCGTGCCAGGTAGTCCGGCCAGGCGGCATGTGATGTCCAGAGGAAGTGTGCAAGGTACATCGGGAAGGGGATCTGCACAGGGATACCAGCTCCCTCCTACACCTCCCAGTGGTGGACGTGGAAGCAGAGGTCGCAGGAATAGTGCAGGAGGCAGGTACGTATGAATGTTATTCCGCCTGGTGGAGAATTTGCAAAAAGAAAATCGCGTGTGTATATAGTGAATGTGACCGACTAATCCGTCCTTCGTTTTCCCCCCCTTTTCCTTCCGTTTGACGCCTGCCACGCTGGCTAAACAAGAAAAGATTTGCCTGCGTTGCAGTCAGACCTGTCACTAGCCCGAGACCTAGGGCGCTTTCCATTCAACAAAAAGTCCGGTTTGAAATTTCGGAAATTCCACGCGCCCAATGGAAGGTACATTCGGTTGCACAGACCCGACCCAGGCCACCGCGCGTTTGGTTATATGTTCTTGTAAGCAGGTTACAAAAGAGCAGTACTGGGGACAACAATTTTGTCAAATGGAAAGGAACATTTCGGTCCGACCGACCAAAATGACCAGACCGGTCAAAGTGGACCTGGTGGTTCCAAATATTCCGGTCGGAACAAACCGAAATGGTCCGTTCCATTTGATCTACCAACCGAAATTTCCGGAATTTTGGGTTGAATGGAAAGCGCCCCTAGATAAAGAACTCAATAAATTATCGGGGATTCAGACTATCTGCGACGCAGGCTACAAAAGTGTTCAGAAAAAGCTTAGTTCTTTTTTGTACTTGCGCTAAATAACATAATTTTATTTGAAGCCAATGACCTGTACGCTCCGAGCCTTTGTCGTTCGCGTAGGTTAACCATGTAAACGTGATAGAAAATCACGTAGTCATCTCGGTATGGAACTCGCGCCGGTGCCGGGCGCGAGTTTCCGCCTTCAAACACGCCCTCGCAGACGTTATGGGGAGAACGAATTTGCCCCCCCCCCCCCCCCCCTCCGCCCCTCATCCCGTGTCCATACAAAAGTCTCTGTATTGTAAAAAAATTGCGAATCTGCTGAACCATATCTTTCCTAGTTTTACATTTCACTATTTCTATGTATCACTATAAATCTTGGCAACTTTACTGACTTTAAGAGGCTCTGTCCAGGAGTGTTGATGTTTGTTCGCTGAAAAAAAAAAATAGACTAATGGAAGACCTCTCTGTTAAGACAAACGTAATCAGGCTATCAAGACACACGGCTTTAGTTTAAAACCATGGACTGGTTTTTTGTTGTTTTCATTTGTTTACAGCGACGAAGTTCAGTTGTTAAAATCCCAAGTACAGGAGAGTAAGTCTTTATGCCAGGCAGCTGAAGTTGAGAGAGATCGGCTGTTAGAACTAGTGTCGCTTCTACAGAAAAGGTAAGATCTCCATAGTAAATCGTCTGGTGCGCTGGTGTTTGTATATTTGTTTGGGGCTGACAATAATGTTAACAGGCTGCCTGTTGGGGAAAAGGGCGAGACAGCTACGCTTTAATGTCCAGTTTAGATTTCTGCTTCTGCATCGGTCTTCTGTCGAATTTCACAGTGAGACTGCTTTTGGGACGCGATCACTTCTTTCGTTAGCTATTGCGAAGTTGCATGGGAAAACTGCGGCAAAGTTCGTCCCCTAAAACAGTGCCATGGTGCAATTCGATAGAACACCGACACAGTCTCAAGCGCAGTCTCTGAATATACTCCTACCGCCGCTATATTGGAATACGAGAAGACTCTGGGAAAGAGGTTGACCCAGTCAACTAAGCTGAACTTGAAAGGATTAGTCATTCACCATTCCAGAAACTATAAGAGAAATGGATACAAACTTTCGGCGCAACAGTTAACAAGCATTAGTTATGATTGGTTTATGGTTGCCTTGAATACCATCGACCAATCATAACTGATGCTTGTCCACCCAAATGATCCCAGAAATCGTTGCGCCTAAAGCTTGTACCCATTCCTCTTATAGTTGGTGAAGTAGGGAACTCATCAGGTTTTGATCAGTTATCACCTTTGATCTGCAAAGAGGAAAAAAAAAGCGGCAAGAGAACTTTAGATTGTAGGACGACACGAGTACGAGATTTTCTTGATACTTAGTACTGCTCTCACGCGTCAACCAGCTTTATTAGGGACTTTAAGATCCAACAACGCGGACGGCAACGAGAACGTCATAAAAACAATAGGTTTAATAAGCAAAACAACAACTTTGCACGTGCATCACACTTTTTTGTTTATTTCCTTCCCGTTTTTGCACGACTACGACGTGAAAATGCCTAACTTCGCGTTTTACGGAGAACGTAAACAAGCATCGACGAAATTTGAATTCTGTTTCTGAGCCTAAATCTGGTCCCTTGAAATTCAACTTTAGGAGGGTTCGCCTACAATTGACAAAGTAAGTGGGTAGGAATAATTGCTATAAACACTGGAAGAACGAAAATTCACTTTTAAAGCGACGTTCTTGTTGCCGTCGCGTCGTTGGGCCGTAAAGTCCCTATTTTGGCTGGAAAACGTGATAGCCGTCGTCAGAGAGGGCTTAACTTCCTTCAGCATAAATAACCGTATTAACTTTTTCGGTGAAAAAGAGAGTAAAATGAAGCTTTTTGGGGTGTCTTTTTTTTTAAACGATCTAAAGAATGCGAGGTCGTGGGCTCGATCCACGGGAGCAGGCCAATTTTCACGGTCTTAAAATGACTAGGGAAGAAGATTCCACCTTTACCCACGTAAGATTTCACCTTTTAACGTGTTTTCCGTACGATGTTATTCCGTAGAGTTGATGAGGCTAAAAACATGGAGTTGGAAGCAAGCAACAAGTGGCAGCAAGAAAGACGTCAAGTGGCTCACTTGGAGAAACAGCTGAGTAGAGTGCAGTCAGGACAGGGCGTGGTCAAGGGGAAGGGGAAGGGGTACGGAACAGGAGGTACAAAGGGACCTTACCCACAGGGTGCTGAGGACTTAGGGGCTCAAAACAATGGTTTCATACCGTCAAGGAAATATGTGCCCCCTGAAGGACCAAGTAGAAACCAAATTGGATCCGTGCCAGGTAGTCCGGCCAGGCGGCATGTGATGTCCAGAGGAAGTGTGCAAGGTACATCGGGAAGGGGATCTGCACAGGGATACCAGCTCCCTCCTACACCTCCCAGTGGTGGACGTGGAAGCAGAGGTCGCAGGAATAGTGCAGGAGGCAGGTACGTATGAATGTTATTCCGCCTGGTGGAGAATTTGCAAAAAGAAAATCGCGTGTGTATATAGTGAATGTGACCGACTAATCCGTCCTTCGTTTTCCCCCCCTTTTCCTTCCGTTTGACGCCTGCCACGCTGGCTAAACAAGAAAAGATTTGCCTGCGTTGCAGTCAGACCTGTCACTAGCCCGAGACCTAGGGCGCTTTCCATTCAACAAAAAGTCCGGTTTGAAATTTCGGAAATTCCACGCGCCCAATGGAAGGTACATTCGGTTGCACAGACCCGACCCAGGCCACCGCGCGTTTGGTTATATGTTCTTGTAAGCAGGTTACAAAAGAGCAGTACTGGGGACAACAATTTTGTCAAATGGAAAGGAACATTTCGGTCCGACCGACCAAAATGACCAGACCGGTCAAAGTGGACCTGGTGGTTCCAAATATTCCGGTCGGAACAAACCGAAATGGTCCGTTCCATTTGATCTACCAACCGAAATTTCCGGAATTTTGGGTTGAATGGAAAGCGCCCCTAGATAAAGAACTCAATAAATTATCGGGGATTCAGACTATCTGCGACGCAGGCTACAAAAGTGTTCAGAAAAAGCTTAGTTCTTTTTTGTACTTGCGCTAAATAACATAATTTTATTTGAAGCCAATGACCTGTACGCTCCGAGCCTTTGTCGTTCGCGTAGGTTAACCATGTAAACGTGATAGAAAATCACGTAGTCATCTCGGTATGGAACTCGCGCCGGTGCCGGGCGCGAGTTTCCGCCTTCAAACACGCCCTCGCAGACGTTATGGGGAGAACGAATTTGCCCCTCCCCTCCCCTCTCCGCCCCTCATCCCGTTTCCATACAAAAGTCTCTGTATTGTGAAAATTTTGCGAATTTGCTGAACCATATCTTTCCTAGTTTTACATTTCACTATTTCTATATATCACTATCAATCTTGGCAACTTTACTGACTTTAAGAGGCTCTCTCCAAGAGTGTTGATGTTTGTTCGCTGTAAAAAAGAATAGACTAATGGAAGACCTCTCTGCTAAGACAAACGTAATCAGGCTATCAAGACACAGGGCTTTAGTGTAAAACCGTGGACTGGTTTTTGTTGTTTTCATTTGTTTACAGCGACGAAGTTCAGTTGTTAAGATCCCAAGTACAGGAGAGTAAGTCTCTATGCCAGGCAGCTGAAGTTGAGAGAGATCGGCTGTTAGAACTAGTCTCGCTTCTACAGAAAAGGTAAGATCTCCATAGTAAATCGTCTGGTGCGCTGGTGTTTGTATATTTGTTTGGGGCTGACAATAATGTTAACAGGCTGCCTGTTGGGGAAAAGGGCGAGATAGCTACGCTTTAATGGCCAGTTTTAGTTTCTGCTTGAGAGTGCATGGGTTTTGTGTCGAATTTCACACTGAGACTGTTATGGGACGCGATCACTCCTTTCGTTAGCTATTGCGAAGTTGCATGGGAAAACTGCGGCAAAGTTCGTCCCCTAAAACAGTGCCATGGTGCAATTCGATAGAACACCGACACAGTCTCAAGCGCAGTCTCTGAATATACTCCTACCGCCGCTATATTGGAATACGAGAAGACTCTGGGAAAGAGGTTGACCCAGTCAACTAAGCTGAACTTGAAGGAATTAGTCATTCACCATTCCCGAAACTATAAGAGAAATGGATACAAACTTTCGGCGCAACGTTTAACAAGCATTAGTTATGATTGGTTAATGGTTGCCTTGAATACCATCGACCAATCATAACTAACGCTTGTCCACCCAAATGATCCCAAAAATCGTTGCGCCTAAAGCTTGTACCCATTCCTCTTATAGTTTGTGAAGTGGGGAACTCTTCAGGTTTTGACCAGTTATCACCATTGATCTGCAAAGAGGAAAAAAAAAAGCGGCAAGAGAACTTTAGATTGTAGGACGACTACGAGTACGAGATTTTCTTGATACTTAGTACTGCTCTCACGCGTCAACCAGCTTTATTAGGGACTTTAAGATCCAACGACGCGGACGGCAACGAGAACGTCATAAAAACAATAGGTTTAATAAGCAAAACAACAACTTTGCACGTGCATCACACTTTTTTGTATATTTCTTTCCCGTTTTTGCACGACTTCGACGTGAAAATGCCTAATTTCGCGTTTTACGGAGAACGTAAAAAAGCATCGACGAAATTTGAATTCTGTTTCTGAGCCTAAATATGGTCCCTTGAAATTCAACTTTAGGAGGGTTCGCCTACAATTGACAAAGTAAGTGGGTAGGAATAATCGCTATAAATACTGAAAGAACGAAAATTCACTTTTAAAGCGACGTTCTTGTTGCCGTCGCGTCGTTGGACCGTAAAGTCCCTATTTTGGCTGGAAAACGTGATAGCCGTCGTCAGAGAGGGCTTAACTTCCTTCAGTATAAATAACCGTATTAACTTTTTCGATGAAAAAAAAGTAAAATGAAGCTTTCTGGGGTGTCTTTTTTTTTTTAAACGATCTAAAGAATGCGAGGTCGTGGGCTCGCTCCACGGGAGCAGGCCAATTTTCACGGTCTTAAAATGACTAGGGAAGAAGATTCCACCTTTACCCACGTAAGATTTCACCTTCTAACGTGTTTTCCGTACGATGTTATTCCGTAGAGTTGATGAGGCTAAAAACATAGAGTTGGAAGCAAGCAACAAGTGGCAGCAAGAAAGACGTCAAGTGGCTCACTTGGAGAAACAGCTGAGTAGAGTGCAGTCAGGACAGGGCGTGGTCAAGGGGAAGGGGAAGGGGTACGGAACAGGAGGTACAGTGCAAGACCGACAAGCAAAGATGGAAGACTTGGAAGAGCTGTCAACCAGGTAAACAAAAGTGAAACCTGTGATAACTTCTATTCAGTACTTGCAAGTCTGGTTTTTTCGGTCACGCGAGCTTTTTAAAGCAGGAATTGGGTGCAGTGAAGTGGCACCAACACGAGAGAAAAACTCGACACCGTCGGCACTTTTTCCATTTCTATCGTCTAGTAGTCGTCCGTCTCTTTGCGCTAGAGAATATGCCATTACTAAATTCTGTTCTTTTTTGTCACAAGTTATCTTTGGTTTTTAAAAGCAGTGTTACGAGAAACAGATTCAAGTGTCTCCTTCACTGAGGGATAGTTCTTCGTTTTCACCGAAATATCTTTATCATTGACTACGTAGGAAGCGAAAGTTGGAGCGTGAGCAAAAAAAAAAAAAAAGGAAGAACAGGGGCGAACCTAACCATAACGTTTTTTCCCCTCCCCCTTTATCCCTCTTTATTTGCTCTCGTCCTAACTTTCTCAACGAACCCGAACCCGCTCGGAAACGCTTGCTACTCAGGCTATCATTATCAGAGACTTTTATACCAATAATAAAAGTATCTTAATAAGATCTGTTAATGCAGGTCTGTCCTTCTCATATCATCGATAGAACTGTACCCTATCCGTATGTGTGTATTCTGCCCACAGGCGGATCCTTCCTTATAGTTCTCGATCTAAGGCGCGCCTCTTGACCGCTATGTCAGGGCTGCCATCCTTTACTCTATCCAGCATTCCCACTCGAGGTCTTCCAGGTGGTCTCTCTCCTATTATTCTTCCCTCAATTACTAATGGGACAAGATCGCCATGCCGTAGGGTATGACCAAGCCAGACTCTCTGTCTTCTGTTGATAAGAGATATGATGGCCCTCTCCTCACCGTCAGGCCTCAATACTTCTTCGTTACAGACTTTGTCAGACCAAGTCATGTTCAAGACCTTTCTTCAAACCCACATCTCACAGCTCTCCAGCCTTCGCACATCAAATATAAAATGCAGTCACAGAGACTAACCTCTTTTCATTTTCTTCATGAATGAATAATACGTTTTCTAATATCTTCACCAGACTCGCCATTCAAACAGACGAAAACGACGCACTAAAGGAAGCTCTTAACTCCACTTTGAAAGCGAAAGAAGAGGACTTGAAATTTTACCAGGAGATGATGGATCAAACTAAAAAGATTTTTGTTCAAGGCCTGAGACAGTTTAGACAGAACTCAGCACCCAGCTAGGTGGCGGATAATTGTGCATAACGCGCCACATAATCAATATTTATTTTTTTTAATAAACCGTTATTATTTGAGCAGTGGTATTGTATTGTATTTTCTTCTATAGTGATCACTCTAATTTCTGACACCCTTAATTAAAGACGGTTGTGAACGGTAATTTTGTCAAGAAGGTGTAAGTCAGATTTAAGTCAGAATAGAAAGGATGTAATATCCTTGTTAGGTAATTGCTACCTCTCAGATTAATACAGTATATTCCAGATGCTAAAACTGAATCATCCTCCACAAAAAAAAATAGAAACCTTCGTAAAAACTGTATAATTTGTCTTGATAATTCCGGTCTCTAATAACACGGCACCTCAAACAAGTTCGGTTACTCTCATGTATATTGAACAAATTGCAAATGTCATCGAAATGTAAGGCGTTTGTTTTTATGTAGGTTTGTTAGATACAGATAAAAGGAAATGCAATGAAGCGAAGATGCGCCTATATTAAGGCAGACTGGTGAAATCAATGCGGCCTCCCGTACTGCCTTATTTGCATAATTACGTCAATCCGTCTGGTTTCTCGGAAAGCTTTTGTCGTGGAGCTGCAAAAGAGTTGCTGGAAATTTTTAACGTTTCTTGGAAACCGTCGAGTGTTTGGTTTTGTTTTTAGTCAAGTCTTTGGTTTACTTCTTCGTTAGGTAAGACGGGGAGTAACTGATTCGATTGAAGATAAAGGTCAAAATAATTTAATTATATCTGCTGGTGTATTGTGAACAAGGTCTAAGCATTTTTGTTTTACTTCGTAAAATTTGTTATTCATTGGTTAACAATCTGTGATTGCTTTAGCTTCCAATAGCAAACGCTAATTCGCGAGGGTAAAGCTCGACCTTTGATATCCAAATTTTGTTAATCGTAATGGAAACTGAGATGGCAAAATAAATAAATAAGATTTTGAAAAAGCAGGAGGAGAAGAAGCTAGAACTTTCCAACGCTCAAGTTGTAGCTAAAAGGATGATGGGAATTGTGGGTTTTCCAAGAAATTATCTTTGGTCATGTGACATCGCGTGATTCTTGAGTTTCTCGGAAAAGGTTCTTTAACGTTATGAACTCATTCTTGAAGAACTTCGCGAGTTTTAAACTGATATAACCAGGGAAAGTATTGTTCTTAGTAAAAGACCGCAAAGGTAAGGTTACATTGTCATTGTGACGCTTAAAAAAGGAGTAAAATTTATGATAACTTGTCACATTTTCAGTGATTCGTTTCCCGAGAACTTGAGCGGGACCGGACTCACAGCCGGCGTGGTTTCAAGTGGTTTACAGTTTGCCGAACAATTCATGCAGATGTAGTCTCGGTCTTCATCAACATCTTATCCCAAGTTATTTCATGTAGGTACGAAAAGTGAACTTCTTGATTAAGCGATTTTTAAAATAGCAAAATACCTCCTCGCTCAACTAACTTCCGTGTCGACGAAACCGTGCAAGAAATGGCCTTCAGAAAGACTGAAGCTGGTTATTATTGTTTTTTATTTTTATTTTATTTTGTACGTGAATCTAATTCCTTCGGGAGCATCGTATTAAAATTCAGTGACGGCGCTATTCTTTTGGTTGCGTTTGGAACTAGTGTCGCACGCTGGAATTCAGTTTTGCTGATAAATTTTGAAACACAACATGGCTAACAATGAACCATGCTGCCTCTTGAATGCTGATTCCAACATTGTTTCCACATGAAAATGTTGGCAGTATAATACGTTTTCAACTTTCTCTCTACTCTGGCAAAAACGTTGTTTAATACAAAAAACTAATAAATATTAACACCACCGGTCAAGGGTCGAGTAGGCGTCCAACTAACAATTCCTGCACACATTCTGTTCAAAACTAAGTTAGAGCCGGTATTACGTAACTCCATATGAGCTAAAACACCTAGTTGTAGCGATTTACAGTACATTTCAATTTTTTGTCGAGCCTAACGATCAACCCTTCATGGCTATCATTTATGTGTTATTCTTTGTTCGTGAAAAACAATAACGCTTTATTTTATCAACTGTCTTTCAGATAAATTATGAAGCGATTTTACTCAGTTGAAGGTTGATTTTGTCTCGCATAATGAGTAAGTAGTAAAGTGATTATTGTTCAGTATCTGTCCATAAAGTCTTATACATGCCTTAGATCGAAACCCACCAGCCATGAGCATAGTTCGTGAAACACCAATCACCAACAACCACGGTGGTAGTCAGTAACCCGATACTAACGCCTGATGAAGACCTGCATCAGGCGGTCAAATATCAAAGGGGCAGTCATGAGACTAACAATAAATAAAATCCATTGCACACATTAACCACAATGAAGAATATCTTTTATGACAAGTTTTACAGTTTGTAGATACTTGGTGAATCTTAACATATTGTGATGGATAAATCTTTCACTCTATCTTCTTAATTTTTGGTTGTTATCATTTTTTTGAATGATCTGTTTTATCTTTATCTATTTTTCTTTACTTTACGTTGCTTTGTTTTGCTTTTGATCCTTTGTTTTCCTTTGCTTTGCTTTAATTTGCCTTCATGCCTTTGTTATGCATGTTTTCTTTTCCCTTTGTTCCATTTCATTTCCTTCCTTTTCCTTTATTTTCCTTCCTTTTCCTTTTCTTTTCTTTGTTCATACATTCCCTTCCTTTCCTTGTGTTCCATTTCTTTCCCTCCCCTCCCACTTCTCTTCCTTTCTTTTTCTTTTCTTTCTTTGCTTTTGCATACTTTCCTTTCCTTTCTTGCCATTTCCCTCATTTCTTTTCCTTTGCATTGCTTTCTTTCCTTTCCTCTCCTTCCATTTATTTCCATTTCCTTCCCATTCTCTTCCTTCAATTTCCTATCCTTTCCTATCCCTTTCATTTCATTTTCTTTACTTTTCTTTCTTCTCCTTTCGACCCATCCCCTTTTATTCCTTTTAATATGCTGCTATGTTACTCCTTGCTGATTCCTATCATTTCCTTACGTAAGTATAGAAAACTATGAAACCAGCTGTATTCCAAAAACTCTCTTATCCCAATCCCAACCCATAATTTCCCTGGGCCACTTCCATTGTACTCTATTCCATCTTATACTTTATTTGATCCCATCCTACTCTGTCCCATTCTAAATCATCGCATTGAAATCTGCAAATCTGACAGTTGTTTTGTCATTATTGTGGCTCATGAGAATGGCACAATGTTACAAATCCCCTTCAATATCCTACTTCATCTATCTATTTTCATCCTTTTGACCTCTTTTGCTTGTATGCTTTGTTTTTCCAATACAGGTCATGTGATAATACTCTAGAGAACTGTTTCTTTCAAATTTTGGCTTATTCATGTACACACATGTGTCTATGCATAAAATTATGTATGAAAAGACAAAGGGCCAGTTCCTCTGGGACCTCTATCTACAAGCTTAAGAGGTCTATTCCGTTTTAGTAAAATCCAACTAGTGGTCTATTATCAATGCTGTGTTCTGATTGGTTGAGCTACTACTAGGCCATATATTATAGCCCACTAGTAGCGAAAAGGGCGGGCTTTTTGGTAGCAAAAAAGGATTAAAATCTAGCTTCAATTAGCTAATTTTTTTTTATTCTCGATATTTTTGACCAACTAGTTGGATTTTACTAAAACAATTATTCCTCTCGCCCTCATGGCCTCTGAGTCAATAGCCCATTCAGCCTTTCGCCTCATGAACTATTGACTCACAGCCCATTCAGGCTCGAGGAGTAATTGTTAAATATACCCATCTTTATCATCCCTACCCATCCCCCTCCTATTTCATTCCCTGCTTCTCTTTTTTATTCTTAACCCTTTTCATCCTCTCTCATCCCATCTGATCCTTGTCTGTCTGTCATGCCAATGCACCCCATCCAAAGCTACAACATCTCTGACTCTCATACCATCTTATGGTCATCATCATCATCATTATTGTTGTCCCCCCCCCCC